TTGTTTACGCCTCAATTCCCAACAACAACAACACCAACACCCACTATAAAATAAACTCATCCAATGCCACACGCGTTACTCGTAAATAAATCGCAACAAATAATAGCTGCAGCATAGATTGTTGTGGACTAAGTCGTAAACTGCCCCTATGTTGTTTCAGAGGATTCCTGCGTTCCGACACACTGATCGGCACCGTCAATGTCAAGCTGCAGCCGCTGGAGACCAAGTGTGATATACACGATACGTACGATGTGAGTAAACCAAAAACAATGTGTCGGCATCCGAAGTTCTGCTAACTCTGATTCTCTTTTGTTTCCCACAGCTAATGGATGGCCGCAAGCAGGTGGGCGGCAAACTGGAGATCAAAGTGCGTGTACGCAATCCCATACTGACGAAGCAAATCGAACACATCAACGAGAAGTGGCTGGTGCTAGATGCCGAGGGCTGAACTGCAGTTGGAGACTTTATTTAGTTCATTGCTTTAAGCAAACAAAAAAGTATATTGTTTAAAGGAAAACCAGGGGGTCCTCTCTCTCTCTCTCTCTGTAAATACCCCCGCCCAGGCAGAGAATGCTTTATGGTTACGCTTTTTGGCCAATTCCCTGCACCGGATAAAGGCATTTTATGCATTACGAACACAACACAGATTATGTACTATATACTAAATATTGTATATGATATATATATATATAATATATGGTTGGCTGTAAGGCTGAGGCGCATGTCCAGAAGATTTGTGCCCAAATGAAGTCAGTTCCAGTTCCATTCCAAGAGATAGACAGAGGGATAGCGCCTGGCCGTAGCCTGATTATGTTTTGTTTCCATTTACTTTTTGTCTAAATATTGTGTGCCTGATAAACCGTTTTTGTTTCTGTTAAATTACAACTCCAGATATTCGACTATTTGTGAGAACGGGCTGGTCTCATTGAACACATCCACACCGCGCACTTTATAGAAACCTGCAAGAAGACAAGGGATTAAACAGCTCTACATCTCCACCTCCCTTGTGAGCTCCTCACTCACCATTCACTGTGCCCAACGGCCCGTTCGATGCATACTGAAACGATGGATAGGGCAGGTGCCAGTCTTGGGAGATCAGCAGCCAGTCGGCAGCAAAGCCCTGGCCGCCACGCTGCTTGAACCACACCTCGTAGCTCTTCAGACACTGCATGGACTTGGGATGCTCGCGCCAGCTGATGAACACTTCGCGGTGTGTGACCTCCACAATGGACAGCTGCTGCGGTCGCTTCAGTTTCGGCCACGTGGCAGAGCACACGCGCAACAGCATCGCCCAGGGCAGCGGTATGCTGGCCGAATTGATGACCAGCTCGCTGTTGTACTGCCAAATGGGACCCGTTTCGTAGAGGCGTGGTGTCTGCGCCCGGCGCATGTCCTCGCGCAGTGTGGCATTGGGATACGCTGGACTGCCCGCCTGGGTCCACAGATAATATGGATCTGTGTTGTGTGGCACCAGGAGCTCTGTAATGAAGGCCGACTCATTGGCTATGGACATGTTCAGCGTGTACTTGTGATGGAAGGGCGTAATCTTGGGTACTGCCTCCTCGGGACTGAGGAAAATGGTGGCCATATACTGCCCTGGCCCGCCCATGCCGCCGGAAACGCTGCGCCAGACCTGCACACTGTGCTTGGTGTCCATATTGACCAGCTCCATGTCGGCGGCGCGGCTGCCCAACTTAGCCAGCATGCCCAGGGCCGCGTACACGGGTTTCTGTACGAACTGCGAGTGCGGCGGTTGCGTTTCATTCATGCGGAAATGGGCCAGCAGGGTGCGCTGTGTGAACTCGTGCGGATGATAGCTGAGGAATGCATTGTCATGGCTAATGGACTCCAGGCGACTCAGCGGACCGCCGGATAGCTTGGCATGCCAATGCTGCATCACTGTTGACATCAAAGTGACGCCATAGCGCACATCCGCCTGGAATTCGCGAGGCGTGCTCCAACCAGCCACAGGATCAGCTTCACTGGGGGAAGAAAACGATGGATCATGGTTGCTGTTTTCCTGCTCTCTCTCTCTCTCTCTGGATCTACTTACTCATTGGCCACTGGCAGTTGCTTGAGATTCGGATACTCTTCGTAGATCTTTGCCAGCAAAGAGAGCGAAGCATTCACAATCTCCACGGCACTGCCATTGAGTCCCTTGCGATGAAAGCTGAGCACATCGATGGGACAGTGAACCATACGCTGATTGCACAGCTGCAGCAGCTTCCAGCAACGCGGATGACTCTCGAGGGACTTGAAAAGGCCTGCCGGGCCACGCAGAGCCCGGTACGTGGGCAGATTCGTGCTCGAATGGGCATGGGCTGCACCCGCCTTGCTGAGACCCCGACGCACAGCCTGGACATAGTCCAGGTAGTAGTCCACTGTGAGATTGAGCGTGTTGTAGCCATGCAGATCCGGCTCGTTCCAGGTCTCGTAGCGCCAGTTGGCCATGCGCGCAGAGCCATGTCGCACTGCAGCAGGAAAGGGGAATAGGATTAAATTGGCTTTGGTTTCAGCGTTTCCCAGACCCACACACACACTCACCTATCTGATGATTGAGGGTAGTCTTCACAAAGTGGTCCCAGAAGAAGGAGATCTGCTGTGGATTCTCCGTAAAGACCTGCCCCGGATTGCCCATAAACTCCAGCACCGGGGAGAGGCGCAATTCCTCGTGCAGAAAGTCAATGAAATTGTCAAACTTACCAAAGTCGTAAATGGGCACACCGCTCATGTCGTACTGCAGGAACTGCACCAGCTCCAGCAGCCAATGGATGCGTATGTGGGTCACAGCGCCCACCGGCAGGGCGGCTATCTGCCGGAGATTCATTTGCAGCTCGGGGGCGGCCAGGGCGGCGCTAATCCCCTCATGATCTATGTCACCGGCCGGACAGAAGCCCACGCCCGTCCAGAAGTGCGACAGCGGATGATAGACCACATCACCGCTGGTATAGTGGGCGTGGACGTAGCGTCCGGACACGTAAAGCAGCACCAGGAGGAGCATCGGCGATGGCAACATTTCGAATGATTAGCGGACCTTTCTCGCCGAGATGAATTCCGCTTTTGTTTGTTGTCTTCGATTTGTCCGATGCCGAATGCTGATAAGAGCCCGCCCCTCGCACGATGTGTCGTGTGTCTGTATCTGTTGCCCGCCTTCAACCATCGGTCGGGCCGTGCACAGGGCAAGGCAGGGCAGGGCTTAGAGCCCTCACCGTGTCGTGACGTCACAGGAGGCTGCTGCTGCTGCTGCTGTGGAGCAACAGCGTGCCAGTTTATCCACTCTCGCTCTCTCTCTATGCCTCTGTGTCTATAAGTATGTCTCTCCTTTGTCTGCCTGATGTCTCCCCCAAACGGTGAGGCAAACGAAATGACAAAAACATGCAGGGGAGGCTTTCACCGTGAGCCGAAGCTGTTGATACACTTACAGGTGCATCGTTTTTATGACAGATCTGAGTTCAATGAGTGTTAGGGAAAGAGTTTCAGAACCATATTTGCCACGGCAGCTCTATGATAAAGTCTTACTTAAATTTAAACTTAAAAAGGAATATCTTTAAGTCTGATGACAAAAATACTCTTGAATGGGAATAGGAATGGAATAAAAGCACACATAGGAAACTCCAATTCAAATTGCATATTGATGATCATTTCTATGGAAACTATAGATATAGTGGTATCTTTTGTATTCGATTGGACTTACAAATAAATGTGTGTAAAATTCCTCATCAAAATATGGTATTACCTTTTGCTAGAGTATGCAAAAAGTAGTCGCACAAAAACCTGGAGAGTGGGGGACCCACTGAATTGCAAACCCTCATTAGGGGTGGAAAAATGTGAGAGGCCGGTTGTCGGTATGGCTATATATATGTATGTACATATGCTTTGGGTGTGTGTGGTGAGTCCGCATCGCGTGCCTGTGTTGGGGGAGTTGAAAGGTGTGACAAAGATAATATTTCACGCATCTGAGCGATAATATAGCAATAACATTCTCATAACACATAGCACATCCGAGGGTAGAACTGGTCCCCGGCTGGTGCGAGTATGTTAAATGTTGGTTTCCCCCCCAAACGAATGAATGTCCGATTTATGGGATTTTGTTTGTGGGATTAAAAGGAATTAAAGTAAATACAATAAGAGTATCAGGGTGATTTGGTAACGAAAATTAATTGGGGGTGTTATCTTAAATTTTTAAGGATCTAAGGAAGAAAACAACAAAAATAAACAACCGCATAAATCGAATGTCTGGTTTTGAACGGGATTAGTATTTAAGTCGAATTTTGGGAGAGCTTAAATTAATTTCATTTTATATATTTTAGAGTACACAATTTTATTCAATATTTAGGTCATTTATGAAAATTACAACGACTTAAGAAGAATATAATACAAATGGATGGTAGGTAATTTTAATACTAATAATAATTAATTAAGTAATAATTTTAATTTAATAATATTTCGAATCGCAATCACATTTTCTTGTAACTATAAGATATTCCATTAGGTTTTCATTAAAACTTGCATCTATTTTCATTTTTAATTTAATTTTAACATTGAGTTCTGAACCATCTTCGAACATTTTCTAAAAAAACACTTCACGCTTTCTGCAATTTTTATACCCGTACTCAAAAAAGAGTTGGGGTTGTGGGTGGGGGGTGGGGTTCCGCCCGGCGGCGGGGGGGGGGGCGGCAGCGGGGCCTGGTTCGCCGTGTCCCACGCCGGTGCCCCGCCCCCCGCCCCCGGGGGGGCGGCCGCGTTTACCAGGCCGGAGGGCTGCCGGGGGGGCCCCCCGCGCGCGCGCCGCGCCGCCGGGCGGGGCCCGGGGGGGGGGCGGGGGGGGGGGGGGGTTTTTTTTGGGCGGGGGGCGCCGGGCAATACTTTAAAAGTAATTAAAATCCTTTCATTCAAAAAATATACGAGTATGTCCTGCAATATGCTGAAATGAAACATTATTCTTATATTTAATCTTATACATAAATCTTTATTGCTTTAGAATACAGGGCGTACCCAGATATTCTGAAAATCCCCCTATTTGATTTCACAACATAATTTGCTGGGGAATACCCGATGAACAATCAATAATGCAAAAGCATTATCTATTATTCGCTGATGGATTAATTGATTTTGTCGGCAATATTCAATATATTGCACAATGGAAAGCAATTACTCTAATGGCCGCCGATGATAACTAGGTCCCTGAGCACGGGTCATTGGCAGAATCAGATAAGTGTGTGACCCCGACTGGGGGCATGTGGCATGTGGAATCCAGTTAGCCATATCCTCCGGCCAGGTCGTGTCAGTGCCTTGTTGGCAATGTCACCGAACACTTGGGTAATTGAAATGCCGACACAGAAAGCGCGCTTGCATCCGTATCCGCGTCGGGTATCCCCGTACCGGACACCATCAGTGAATCGGAATGCCTTCAGCCATGAGGCGCCACCACCAGCACCGTCGCCACCTCCAAAGACTCTGGTGCATCCTGTGTTTGAGGACATTCGAACGATACTGTCCGTGCTGAAGGCCAGCGGGCTAATGCCCATCTACGAGCAGGTCTCCAGCTACGAGGTGGGGCCACCCACCAAGACCAACGAGTTCTACTCGTTCTTTGTGCGAGGCGTGGTCCACGCCCTGACCGTCTTCAACATTTACAGCCTGTTCACGCCCAGCTCGGCGCAGCTTTTCTACTCGTACCGCGAGACGGATAATGTAAATCAGTGGATCGAGCTGCTGCTCTGCATCCTCACCTACACGCTGACCGTTTTCGTGTGTGCGCGCAACACCAAGAACGTCCTACGGATCATGAACGAGATCCTGCAGCTGGACGAGGAAGTGCGCCGTCAGTTTGGGGCCAATTTGAGCCAGAACTTTGGCTTTTCGGTTAAATATCTGGTGGGTATTACCGCCTGTCAGACATACATCATTGTGCTGAAGATCTACGCGGTGCAGGGCGTGATCACGCCCACATCCTACGTACTGCTGGCCTTCTATGCCGTGCAGAATGGTCTGACAGCCACGTACATTGTGTTTGCCTCCGCTCTGCTGCGCATCGTGTATATTCGTTTCCACTTCATCAATAAGCTACTCAATGGGTACACGTATGTCCAGCAGCAGCGGCGGAAGGGCGGCAATCGACGACAGGCGGCAGGGCCATCGCTCATGGAGCACTTTCCCGAGGACTCGCTGTTCATCTATCGCATGCACAACAAATTGCTGCGCATCTACAAGGGCATCAACGATTGCTGCAACCTGATACTGGTCTCCTTTCTGGGCTACTCCTTCTACACGGTCACCACGAACTGCTACAATCTCTTCGTACAGATCACCGCCAAGGGAATGGTCTCATCGAATATTCTACAATGGTGTTTCGCCTGGCTGTGCATGCATGTCTCCCTGCTGGCCCTGTTGTCGCGCAGTTGTGGTCTAACCACCAGAGAGGTGGGGCGCCAATCTCAATCAGGGTTAAGCTACATATACACTAATCATGTCTGGTGGGTGTGTTTATTTGCAGGCCAATGCCACATCCCAAATACTGGCTAGAGTCTATGCCAAGAGCAAGGAGTATCAGAATATTGTGAGTTTATAAAAAGAAAAAAATAACTATGGAAATTCGAAGAGAGCGGCCGAACTCGAGCTGGCTATTGAGCGCCCTCTTCGGGCTTTTCGAGAACATTTTAAGAGAGCCTGTAGACAGAGCTCCAAAGTCAGCCTATAAAAATCGTATACCGTAGAAATTTATGGGCCCTACTCAGCTTACTATTTTATATTGCCTCTCCCTCTTGTAGATTGATAAATTTCTAACCAAAAGCATCAAACAGGAAGTACAATTCACGGCCTATGGTTTCTTTGCCATCGACAATTCCACGCTCTTCAAGGTGATTATTACTCAGTACATAAATAAGTGTGTGAATAAATGTTTAAACGCTGGAAAACTTTAGATATTTTCAGCTGTGACCACTTATTTGGTAATTTTGATACAATTCAAACAGCTGGAGGACTCCAAAGTGGAGGACACCGTACAGGAACAGCCACAGACTTGAATATAAATTATATTTTGTCACTCTCAAATGTACTTTCTATACATATCTTACGACAATTTTACTAATTGCAAAGTAAAGAAAATCAAAGAAATACAAAAATTTAAATAAAATTAGAAGTTTCTTTTCTCAAGAATAAAAATGCACCAAGACATGGCCGCTAATACAATTGAAATGATTTTTTTTTTTTAGAGTTTGGGAAACCGACGCCTTGCCTTAAGGGTAGTATTATAATGAAACGAAAAATTATTTATTGATTTGTGGAACGTAAGATTTTTGTGAGGTTTTTGCCTGCCCCCTTTTGTCTAGTACTTAAAATCTAAATGGTCCTAACAGTTCAACACTTTGGACTTGCGACGCGTCTCCCCGAACAGGAATGAGCAAATGCGATCCAACAGAAAGGCACCAATGATGTCAATCATCAGGACAGCGAGCAATACGCGACGGAACTATAAAGGTAATTGTACAAAAAAATAAGCTGAGAAACTCGGAAAAAATGCGGCACAATACGTACATCTGTGGGGAAATCAATAATTTCGAAAAATTCCGTCAGATCGGGCACCAGGCCCGTGGACAAAAGCAGCACCAATGCGGCTGAGGCGCCAATGGCATACACCAGCATGCGATTAGAGCGCAGACTCTCCATGAATGGATGTCCCTGTTAAGTAAATAATTATATATTATAAATGTAGCTCCTTTGGGACAGGCATCCTTGCAGTTCCCACCTTATAGTTGACTGCAATGGTGGCCACCTGCAGTGATATGCAAATAATGTAGACCGTGCTGCTCACAATGTTTGGATCGTATTTGGTCTTCTCCTCGGCATCCATATCAATATACAGCTTCACCTTGCCCACTCTGTAAGAAGAAGAGGGAGCAGTTAATACTTGGAATGGGAAAGAGAATTATTTGATTTCCACGCACCTTGGTGGTGCCAATTTGGTGGCTTCACTAGTCAAATAATAGAGCGTGCCGAAATGCACAGCAAATTGCGAGAGGATCGTGGAAATCGTGTAGAAATTAAAGATGTTTGGCAGTGGTGCCACCTTGGACAGAGTTTTCAGTGGCTGCAAAATTAAATTTGTAGTACAGTGAACGGAGGATTTCATGTAAATTTATGTACCTTGGATCGAGTGATGAACAGAAAACAGGCCGCTATAAAGATGCCCTGCATGGTGGCCTGAGTGTCGCTGAATTTGATGCCATCAATGTACAGCACGGATTGGCAGTAGGCCTGAATGAGGGCATTCAATGCGAGAATCTTGAACATCTGCAGTGTGGTGACCAGAGTGCAGCGTCCCTGCTTGATTATGTGATTGACTGGTACGAAAAAAACAATAAAAATAATAAATAATTATCAGAAATGTCCCTAAAAGATGGGAGAAACCCTCAAGCGTTACCCACCGCACATGATCGATGACGATTTGCTGGTAAACGGCGCTGCAATGGAGGCATCTCCCAGCTTAACCATCGACTGCTCTTCCATGTCGCGAAGAGCGTTCTGCAGGCGAGCCTGCGTATTATTGAGATGCTCCTGCCGCCGGCGCAGGGCACGCTCTCGAGGACTCAACTGTTGGTTGACATTGTTGGCAGCGGCGGCGGCGGCGGCCGTGGCTGCAGCCGCTGCTGCATTGGCCAGCTGCTGTTCCTCCTCGGTGCGCTTGCGCTTTGCTGGCGCACTGGTGAGCAGTGAGACGCCCACATTGGCGTGCTTCAAGGCGCCCACATCGTTGGTGCCGTCGCCACACATGAGCGTGCAGAAGCCCAACTGTTTCAGCGTGGTGATCACAAACTCCTTCTGCTTGGGCGCAAAGCGGGCACATACCGTCACCTGGGGCAGCAGCTGACGCATGTACTGGGGCTGGTTATGCTGCAGATGCAGCAGTCCCTCGCCGGTGATGCACAGATCGTGTGTGGCCAGCATGAGAGAGATACTCTTGCTGCGGCTGCGCTCGTCCAGCATATACGACTGCTCCCCATCGACGGATATCCAGTTCCAGGTGTCTCTTTGCTTTGCTGGCTCGGGCGGCGTCAGAATGAGAAGCTTCTTGCGTGTGAATCGCAGCTCCTTGGCCACATGGCAGGCAGTCAGGGGGCTGTCGCCCGTAATCATTACCACCTTGTGCGAGGATTGAATGAGTTCTTTGATCACAGACTTGGAGTCGGGTTTCATGGGGCACGAGATGATCACAAAGCCGGCAAAGGTGAGATCGCATTCCACTTCATCGCGCTTCAGTTCGCGTATTCTCTGAGCTCCCAGGCTGCCGAACTCCTTGATTCCTAGTGCCAGGACGCGGGCTCCACGACGAGCATACTCGAGATAAGTCTGCAGAGAAATATTCAATTTGGTTACTCTAATTGACTCACTCTTAATGTGCACTCACCTTCTCATAGTCCGATGGCACTTCACGCAACATTTTCTGAATGATTTCGGGCGCTCCCTTGACGGCGCCAATATGCCTCACTTCGTTGGAGTAGGGCATCAGGTAGCCAGCGAGGACGGACATGCGCTTCAGGGACGACGAGAAGTGATAGCGTTGGATGATCTTCAAAGGCTTTAGCTGCGCCCGCTTCGGTATGACACTGTCCATCTTTGTGAGGTTCCAATCAACGGCTGCCAAGGTGGCCTTCTCGAGCGGATCGCCCACCAGTCCATCGTCCAGCAAGGCCAGCGAGTGGCAGCAGGCCAGCACCTGTACAGTGTTCGGCTCTGCCTGCTCAATGGGCACACAACTGCCATTCGGTGTCAGCCCCGCAATGCCCTCCACCATGAGGTTGTCCGTGGTCAGCGTACCCGTCTTGTCGAAGCAGCAGATCTGAACCTTGCCCGCAAACGGAATGCGGAAGGGTTCCGTACAGAACACAAACAATTTGGTCAACTGAATCAGCGACGTATTGACGGCCAGGGTGAGCTCAATGGGCAGATCGGGCGGTATGATGGCCGTCAGAATTAGTGTGCACTCCAGGAAGAGCTTGTAGCGATTTCGCTCCGGATCCTCGCTGCCCTTGACCCACACATAGGAGGCGGCGGCCACCGCGAATACCATGAGGAAGGCAATGAACGCAAAGGTCTCCTTGTTGTTCTCCGTCGCCCGATTGGCACCGAACAGAATCGTGCGCAAGAGTTTGCCCTGCGATGTGTTGAATCCCGTGCGGATCACATAGCCAATGCAGCCACCATCCGGTGCACGCAGCGATTCCTTCGTGGGTGCCGTATGCTGGACCACTTTGGTGCCACCAAAGAGCACAAACAGCTTGCCATCACCGTCCACATCCAGTTCGGTGTCCAGGTTATCCAGCGACTCCAACGATTCCTTCATCAGCGGCACCGATTCGCCCGTCAGCATGGATTCATCCACAATGCAGGTGCCGCGCAGGATAACCAGGTCACAGGGCACAATATTATCGTTCTGGGAGCGGGTCACGGACACCAGATCTCCAGGCAGCAGCTCGTCCGAGCCAATGTGGCGCCATTTGTTCTGACGGAAGGCATAGATCAGGTACGGTTTGTTGCCCATTTTACGAATCTCGGACATGTTCCGCAGCTGCTGCTTCACAATAGTGCACTCGAAGGCAATCAGCATGAAGAGCGTGAACAGGGAGTAGTACCAGTAGTCGTCCATGCACCACAGTCCCACGGAGAACACTTGGAACACAAAGAACGGGGCCGTGGCGCGCTCGAGAAAGAGTTCATGAAACTCTGGCACCACCATATCCATCTCGTTATTGCCATACGTGGAAGTGGCTCGCTTCACGGAATCCTCCAACTCCAGTCCTCGGGAGGCGGCATAGTTTCTGAGCAGTCCGTTCACGGGGAATTCAACGGCTCGGAACGTTTTCCTATCCTCGTTCCACACATATTTTGTCTTCTGAAAGACCAGAAAATACTGCGTTGAGCCATCCTCCAGCTTGGCGGTGCGGATCGGAACTATCTTTGAGTTGCCATTGTTCGCTGTGGGCACCACCTTAGCGAGGACATTGAGGGCCGGCAGCTTCGTTTTGCGGCAGGTGAGAAAGGCCAAGACGTGAACGCTCCAGTAGCAGAAGAGTAATGTGAGAATGTGAAGAAATGCTATGGCCAGAACGGCTATAAAGCCAATGTCATTCCAGGCAATGGTCGAGTCCGTTCGTGTCAGGTTTTCCGGCGAGATCAACTCTTGACTGGTAGCCACATCCACATCCCCGCCGCCGTACACGTAGATGCATAGGTATAGGGCGGTCAGGTATAGCGGGACAAAGGGCAATACCACGCCGCTCAGTGGCGTTGGAATGCGCACGTGTAGGGTCACATATTGCACCAGATCGTCCAGGTTGCCGGCCGTCGCCCCGTTTTTGGAGAGCCTTTGGTTTGAATCGATGTCGCCGGCAGCGCCTTCGGTTGTTTCGTCTCTCGTACTCATGGGTTTAGCCTGGTGCTTTCAGTCTCCGTATGTGTGTTTTCTTACAAATTAAGTACGATTCTTTACAGAAGTTTCATAGCGGCAAAAACAAAATGTGAAAAAAAGAAGCAACGTCGTCGAGCCAAGAAAACTGTATTGTCAGCTGGTCCTATCGATATATACATATCGATATATTGCATCAGCTGGTTAATTTCGTTCGCCAACACTAAAGTGGATGAAACCGTACTTAGTCAGTATATACATTTTTGAGCTTATTAAAAAATTTTACATTTTACTTTTTTGTTACATCTGTTATCTACATCTGCATCTACTCTGCACTGAACAAGGCAGAGTGTGCGAGCGAGAAAGAGAATGAGTAGCGGGTCTCTTGCTGGAGGAGGTGAAACTGAAAATTAATTTCTTCATTCTGGCTATAAAATCTTAATCAGATTCGGCACTCTGATAGATATGATAGATAGTAATCCTCGTTTTTAGTTTTACCATATCTTTTAAATTGTGTCTGCGGGCGGACTGCTACACTTGTAACAGTGTGATATGACATGAGTCTGGAAACAAAATTTGGTTTCTCCAGCTCTTATAGTCTGTGAGATCTAGGCGCTCATCAGGACGGACAGATAGACAATGCTATATCGATGCTGATCAAGAATATATATATATACTTTATGAGGTCGGAAACGTTTCCTTATCGGGGTTACACACATCCACATTTAACCACAAATCTAATATACCCCTTAACTCTTTTTGTGTACGGGTATAACAAATACAAAATCTTCTTTTTTCGCGATCGAAGATTGGTTTTTCCAAAATTTCCTTTCGTAAAAACATTCTTCTGGCAAATACGAACAACTGAATAAAAATTTAAAACAAATCTGCCCTGCCGTTCTCACGTGATGATGCACTATACATTTTTAACTTTTCGAGAATTTTAGCGACACCGTCCGCTATGTCGTTGAATACACCGTTAGGCCGTGTAGATAAAAGTAAAAGTAAGAATTAATTGATTAAGTAATAAATAAGTAAGCATGTTATTCAGTAGTAAGTAATAAGTAAGAATTAAATTAAGGAGGTAATAAAGGAATTAGAAAACGTCATCCCAAAGTGCCACAAAAGACATTCCTAGACATTGAAAGCTGATTAAATGCAACCAACTTGTATTTAAGTTTAATTAAAGCATACATTTGTAGAGTTACGAAAATAGGAAACAGTATTTTTGCACAAGCCAACACACACACGCATGCACAAGGGGGGGCTATCTGATAGTATGATGTGGAATGATACTCATTCATCGAGAGTATCCATGGGAGACTTCATGGATGGGTCAGTGGGCTTGCCAGCCGCGGCAAAGGCCATCTGTATGTTTGTCTGGGACTCGCGCTTCGGAGTGACCCGCTTGTGTTCATTGGTGAAGCTTACACTGATGCGTCCACTGCCACGGACGCCGGACATTGGTGGACGCATGAGTGGCGTGGACAGGCGAGAAGCAGCTGTCACTGCGGGTGGTTGTTGTTGTTGGTGGGAGGGGGCGTTTAATGAAGGACTGACAGATTTCATGGATGTCTCCTTTCGCACATCCACGACGAGCGCCTCACGACGTGCATTATCTTGGAACTGCTTGACGCGATCCTTCATTTCTGTCTCGCGCTTAATTTCCTTTGAGATTTCGGCGCGACGCTTGTTCTCGTACCGTTCCATGGCCTGCTGATCGCGCTGCTTGTTGCGCTCCACAATCAGATCGGCGATTTCCAGGCGCTTCTTCAAGAGTGCCTCCTTGTCCAGCTTCTGAAACATCTCTGGCCAAACGCCCTTCTCCTTCTTAACCAGCACGATGCGTGCCTCGTTCTTGAAGATGCGACAGAAGCTGAACAGATCAGAGGAATTATTATCGGAGGAATCAATGGAAACTATGTATATGGAAATTCACCTGGCCATCTCGTCGATCTCTTGGGCCAGATGACGCTCAAAGAATATGGGTGGATTGTTGAACTTCAAGTACTGGGGCAGCAGGACAACGTCCGGCTTCCGTGTCACCAGACGATTCAGTTCAATTGAAATTTTGATGTCCTCCTCGGTCTGCGATATCTGCACCATGATGAGCTTCGCTTCCGTTGCCGGTATGCTGTCGTCCTCGCAGGTTATTTCCGACTGAGCAATCGCCCGGTGCTCAAACTTATGTTATAGGCTGCCCAGAATTTGTGAGAGTTCGTTCAGGCTGACAACTGCGACAGGGCCAACACTACAATGGCATACTACCCGCACAACTGTTCACTTTGGAGTTCACATTGGTTCGATTTACTTTAATTTGAATATTAACCAGTCTTCGAATAGCCAAGCCGGCCGCCCTGCCTATCGACCAAACAACGATTGGCCATGCACATCCATCCCCCTGATTGGGACTCTACCGGGACTTTACGCCTTCACTGCCAGACACACACCTGTAACATTTTATGCATTTGCATTTTTTGGCAAGACAAGATAACGTGGCCCAGTCCAGGCCCAGGAGCCAGCTAGGAGCAGCTATGCCTGCTATGCTCCTACTCCTCTGATTGAATTAGTCGCAGCTCCAGCACGCGAAGCGAATTCCTATTTGCATAGCACATGCCACTCAATAACAGTTTCCCTCGACATTGATTGGCAAACGGGCTAGTGTTTTATGGAGCCCATGCTATGACGCGTACATATATTACCATTTATTTGACTTATTTGATTCCTTCCTCGATATTGTGCTGTGTAAATTAGAAGCTATTAAAGGAACGACAAATGTTTTGTTTTGTTTTGATTTGTTTAGTTGGCGCGCCCTTTCAACAGAGTTTTATAGCTGATGAATGCAATGATAGATTGCATTTTCAATGCATACATGTCTATGTGCAGGTGATGAATGTGGATCAACAGAGCCCTATGAAGAATATAATATAACGCAGTATTCATATAGGCTATAGTATCAGGCAGAGCAACAGATTTATATTCAACATTTCTTCTTTATGGCATCCCTGATAATATTCTACGTTTCCAGTATCATACTTGTACGTACTTCACTTTTCTGACAGGACATTGTAAACTGAAGATACCCTCTGAAGAAATTCAGGCAGCGTTTCCAACCGATTCTGCAAGCTAGAGAAAATCGCAGATGGCAAGAAAAAACCTCAAATTGCCAGGACATCATCTTAATATAAAGGACAATACGAAGCCATCAATCCAACAAACATTGTTTCATTTCTGTAAGAGTTGCTTCAAGCTTAAAAGAGGCAAAAATAGATCTCAAAATGCATCCCTGTTGAATATATTCCAAATCATGAGTTCGCTTGATACACCTAATTGTCTGCCCAATACCCTAGTTTCCCAATCAAATAAATATTTACTACAAATAATACATTTCAATTGGCATGAGAACCGTGGAAACCAACCAAGATTAGTTATGAGAACTAACGAGGTAGCTATGGTAACTTAAAGTTCATTCACTTCTTTCCAAGGGGTAAATTTTGATGGCTTTTTATAATGAAATGGCAAGGAGCAGAATTAATCTTAAGAGATCAGAATACGCATTGAACAAACGCATACAATGGATTTGATCAATTTGTATGCTTCTGCCGCCTGCTTATATATCAAATTGTAATATGTTCCTATAAACAATAATTATTACAAGTAACTATGGAAATATAATGAAAGTATAGCCCCAATATAAAGCAACGTTACAGAATTAATTACCGACTAACCGACAATGATTAATATTTCTTTCAGATCTTTTACAAAAATTACTGAGAATTATTTGGCATTTATTGAACTTTCAGGCAGAACTTTAGCCACTTTGCGGGGCTCCTTAATGGTAGTCAGTGGACACTGCATCTCGCTCCAGCCCACCGGGACCATAGGAACTCGGGTTTTACGGGCATCGCTGGCATAGGCAACCACCACACCGAGCTCCGTTTCGGCAGTGGTTAGAAGAAATGATTGTTCCATTTGATTGATGACACGCGCCAGGATCACATCGCCGGGCTTGAACGACTTGTATATGTCGACACGATCCTTTTCCGTTTCCCGCACATCCTCCTTCCGCAGCAGCCCTCGATAGCTGCTCTCCAGCAAAACGTTTCGCACACAGAATATGGCACATTTGGCGAACTTTGGTGTTGTGACCAGCACGCGGGCAGTGACGACGTCTCCAGTAGCCGGTATGGTCAGGTGGAAGCCCGGCTTGTGAACACTCACAACCTGGCACTGCAAAAAAAGACAAATAAATCGGTTGCTTCAATTTGTTGGCAGCGGTGCCACCGGCAAACTTACGTTCTCTCCAGATTCTTCAATATTCACGACCCCCGATTTGGAGGCGTAGACGTAGCCGTTCTGTTCGTACGTGCCTATGCCCAAAACCACACTGTCTTCAACGCGGCACAAGCGTTCTCCTGGCAAGCACACAATTGTATTTTCATCTCCTTCTGAACTCATTTTTCTAATACAAGCCGCAATTTGTTGTCAAAATAATATAAATAAAGCCGCAGAACGAACACATGTGTGTGCAGGGAATACCGATAGTATCGATTACACGTGCTGTTGTTGCTTGCAGCAATTATTCTTCTTGTTTTTCCTCGTTGCCCAACACACAATTTGTTGAATGTGTTTATGTTGCCGGTTGTGCCGCCAATATTTTCTGTTTTTCCGGTTTTAATTATAATTTAACTCCGAATTTCAACATGTATGTCAACATGAGCTATCGCGAGGTTACCACCAAAAACCTGAAACCAGCGGACTGGACCGAAGTTAATATAAATACAGGTGGGTGGTCACACAGATAAAGATTGCCAGACCCTTTTCCATTCATTACTTCTGTCTGGTCTGCCAGCAGAAACACTAAACACACTGCAGGATACCAAAACATTTGAGATATCTGGCGGACATTGCTACAAAAATAATAATGTGCAGTACAGGAATCGATTCATATATTGGTAAGTTTTCCGATGAGCAGCTCTTGAAATGCAACTAATAATGTTTGCTTGAAGGCGGACGAACAAGGAGGTGCTGGAGCTAGCTGAAATTAGCCTGGATATATCGCTTGTGAGAAACCATTTGCGTCTGCGCTTCACCGACTCGGCTGTGCTCAATGTATCCCTTACGGAGCACCACAAAGCCATCACACTGCTGGTCGTCACCGTGAGCAGTGTCCATCGCTACGTGTTCCCACTTAAGGTGGTTGGTGAAAACGCGGGCACTGCCGCCGCCGGACAAGACGATCTGCAGTCGCAATCAATCTTTTACGATGTGAACGAAAAGATCGACGATCCGAGCGCCTTCTATGTTACGGATGGACTGGGCACGATGCCCACTGTGGCTGCTTCATTTATGTCGGAGCACGCCCAAGTGGCCTACTTTGCGGTGGCCTACCAGAGCAAGCTGGTGCTGCACGTCATGAACTGTGTCACTGGCTCCACGGTGACGCACGAGGTCAAGGAACCGCATCTGATGCCTCGCTTTCTCTCCAGCCTCACGGGCGCTCTAATGTGAGTGTTACAGATTTTGGCTCATGCCAACGCCCCGATTTAATGTTGTCTTTTGCTTCTGATCTTTTAGTAGGCGAGCGGAATCTGTGGATGCGCCCAATTCGATGGAGTTCAGTGAAATCGATGGCAAGACGTATCTTCTGGTGGTCTATAGGAGCAACGAGCTGCGCCTTTGGGCAGTGGACACGATGCAGACAGTTTCCACCATTAACTGCTCTGGCGGCGCTCAAGGTGCACCGTCAGCACAAGGACGTAAGCATTATAATTGCAAACCTCCTACTCTTCCAGCTGGTAATTGAATCTTGGGTTTATTTTTTCGCAGCGCAAACCAATCAGATACGAAAAATAGACGATCAAAACTTTTGCGTATTCCTCTCACACGACGATGGGGCCGAGTTTGTTTGCGTGCATCTCGATGGGACTACGATGCCAGATGGAAGTGCCAGAGACCTCGAGTTTATTGTGAAGCACACGGTTGTGGCGCCCCAAATGGATCTGGCCGATTTCGATGTCACCCTCACACACATCTGGGCTCTCTGGAGCAATGCCGAGGGGGATTTCAATGTCTCGACGATATATGTGGGCTCTGATCAGGCTATCGAATGGGTTTCCTCGGTACTGGAGCCGCCACCAGATCGTTATTGTCTCACCATGGAGCAGGGTATTGATCCGCGCGAGGCCTACTGCTCGTACATCTTCCATCCGGGTCGATTTGATCGTACGGTGATTACCAAGGCCTTATATGTGAGTATCCCCAGCTGTAGCCTGAAATGCACGTTAATCTTGATTGTTTTTTCCCCCCTCCAAAAAAAAGATGTTCCGACGCGTCAACCTGCAGTTCGATGTTAGGCAGCTGTCGATGACCGTGCTCAAGGAGCAGGTGTGCCAGGCCGTCGAGGATGAGATCCAGAACGAGTTCAAAGAGTTTGTGGTCAGTGACGAGGAGTATCTGGAAGCTGCCACACGGCTGTGGGATCGTTTCTATTCATGCTGCGAGCAATACCACATCAAGTACTCGGAGCCCATTGGTTTGTCCATTTTGGGTCCCATGGATGCGGCATGCCTCATTAGGCGGCAGTCCTTTGCCCTGCTACGGCCGTGCGAGCTGCTGGAGCATGTACTGCTCATTGGAGAGCAGACCAGGGATGTGGCCTCAATACTGGCTCCATGCTTTCGCAACGATCACACATTGTCGCAGGCAGTCGCTGAGCTAATGAGGATCATCACTCAGGTGGAAAAGTCGCTGCCAGAGGATGTCAAAATGGAGTTGGATAAGAAACTCTATCAGCGCGAGGCGCCCATTGATCTGGTGACCAAGCTTGTGGGCAGCAGCATCGATGATGATGATATTAGTCCCACCCTGCCCATGCACACTGTTCAGGAGCTGAAGAAACAGCTGCAGAATGTCACAAATCTGCAGGATGCCGTCGATATGCTGCTGAATATTCTGTGTGTGATCGAACCGGATGCCCCGCCGCCACAAGGTAGAGATTTATAGCTTAGATCGATTGAGGCATATTGTTTCATCCTTCGTTTTCCTTGTGTACAGACTATGCCAGATCCACGCGTTTCCTGCTGCCAACTGGCGCGTTGTTTGGCAGCGAGTATGGCATATCCATTCTAGCCGAGACGTTCAAACAAATGGCTTTGATACGGTGAGTAGGGGGATACCTTCTCCATTTACCCTCGCATCTAATTATTGCATTCCCTTGGCAGCTTTTCTGTCTGCCGCGATCTGCTGATTCTGCTGTGCATTATGGAGGAGCAGGATGGAACAGACAGTAATGGCCTGGTGACGGCTGATAACTATATGCGATCGTACTATACGCTCGTTTGGATGGCCGTGACGCCCATTTCCTCGAATACACCAGCTGGATTGTAAGCCAAATCGCCCCCCTAAAAACTGAACCATTAAATAATTTCTAAACGTTTTTGTGTATATTACAGTGAGGCTTCCATACAGCGCTTGAATCGCGCACAACTCTTTGATGGCTATTCCCGACCGTACTCGAGTCATGTGCGTGGCTATGGCAATGATCAGACCACGCTGCTCTGTTTATTCCTGCGTTCCAAGGGCCTGTTCAGTGCTCTGGCCAAGCTGCTGTCCAAGGCGGGCATGCAACTGGAGACGGAGCCAGCGACGTTGCGACAAACGCTGCTGCAGCTGGTCACCTACACCAATGAGATGCTGTAAGTGACGCGAAGCTCTAGCAGCAGCCAAATTTTGTTTACTATATTTATGTGTATTGTATGTCTGGTTGCCTTTCAGTTGGCCCGAATCTCCTAGCTATGTATTCCCAGAATGGCTCTTTGGCACATGCCACCAGATAATTGTGCAGGACTATGTGCGCCTGCTAGCCGTCTGGTGCGAAAAGAAGGCCCATTGTCGTGAGTAGTACGTCGCAGACTGTCATTTTCCCTTTAATGAGATTTTCTCTCTTCATTGCAGGCACATTTATGCTGGCTGTTTCGCTGCTGGATTGTGGCGAGACACAAAAGGCTGTGCTGCTCTTTCAGGATACCGCTGAAAAGGTGCTCGATGATGCATTCCTCATCGAGCACGTGCTGAAGAATACACCGCTCCACGGCCAGCTGAAAGAGAGCCTCGAACTGGGCAATGATGATGGACCATCGTTGGAGGACAAGAAACAGGCGGTGGTTCATTATTATCTAAAGGTCATACAGCTCTTTGAGCAGTATTCGGCCGTGGACTACATCATACAGCTGGCCCTTACGGCCATAAGCAAGCTGGGCGAACGCGATCCACAGCTGCCCATGTTCCAATCGATCGTTTTCAACAATCATATGCATCTGGGCCACTACGAGGAGGCGTATCACGCATTAATTTACAATGCCGACATATCTAGGCGCAAGGATTGCCTGCGTCAGTTGGTGGTGACGCTGTTCCAATGCAAGAGCCTGGACCTGCTCATGAAGCTGCCGTACAATGGCCTGCAGAACGAGTTCGAGAATATTGTAGAGTCGCGTGCCCGGTCGATGAGCATCGATCAGAATGAAGTCTATAACTTTTTGTATGCCTTCCACACGAGCAAGGGAAACATGCGCAAGGCGGCCACCGTCATGTACGAGCAGGCCATGCGGCTGCAGGTGAGCAGCAATGCCCCCAAGGCACTGGACAAGCGTTGCTCCTCGCTGCTGATCTGTGTGAATTGCCTGAATCTGGTCGACAATCGGTACAGATGGATAGCCAAGCCAATCATTGGCGACGAGCGAGTGTTGGCCATGGATGTGGATAATGAAGATGAGGTGCCGCCAAACGACGATGAAGTGCTGGTCCTGGAGCTGGCCGACATACGGCGCGAACTTGTGTACGTTGAGGCGCTAAAGGAGCTCTCCCACTACCGCAAGGACATAGCCGCCTATGAGGTGGCAGGAGCTGAAGAACTGTCCTATCTGCTGAGCAGCTATGGCCTGTATACGGCTGCCCTGAAACTGTCCCGCGGGCATACGTTCTCTGTGCTGCCGACATTTGAGAGTCTGGCCGCAGCCTGTGTGAGCGCCACCGAAGAGAAGGACACCGATGCCTGGGCCTGGCTGCAGAACAACGATCTGGCAGGTGCATAAATCTGGCAAAGCCATTAAAATTCAATCGATTTAATCTCTGATTGCTCTGCTCTTTCCAGATCTGCCACATCGTAATAATGCCGCTGATATGGCATGGTCCCTGCTGCAGAAGCTGATACTCGACAACGAGCGCAAGGACTCGACGCTCATACGCAAGAGCGTCGTTAACCGATTGCTCACAATGAATGCATTTGTGCCCAAGTGGCTGTACGACTCCTACAAGCTGAACAATTGCCGCGAGCTGTTGCATCTGTATGTCCGGCACAATCGTTTGCTGGAGGCCGCCGATATGGCCAGCGAGATGATCTGTGCCATGCTTGGCGCTGGCAGCGAATACTTTGATTTCCAGCAGTCGATCAATGTGACAACGCCGCAGCTAGCATTCCCCATTAACACAATGGATCTGCTGCTGCACGCCCTGAAGGTGAATGGCAAGGAGCACTCCGAGTATGAAGTGGCCTGCGTACAGCTGGAGGAGGATGTGGCCAGATACATTGAGACAGTCAGCCGCACCACATCGGATAAAATGAAAATGGCCATTTTACGGAATCGCGAAGAGCTCCAGCTGCAGACAATACGCCAGTAATTCAGTTTAAAAAAGATTATAAAGTTTATTTCGAATTAAATGTGCTTAAAAGTCATCCGTCATCAGCAACTCGGACATGAACTTTTTGTAGATGTGCATAAATTGGGCCACAAAGGCCTCCAGGTGGAAGATGTGCTTGGCGCCGTTCTGCATTCGATGCTCGTATTCGGTGGCCAGCTCCAGAGTTCTTGCCTTGATGGACATATCACAGTTGCTCACGAGATGTTCGACAAGACCACGAAATATCAGATTGGGTGGCACGCCCTGCGTCAGCAGTTCGTACAGGCGATCGCGAATCTTCTCCAGTTTGGCTGGCGTCTGCTCGCTGATGATCTGTGCGGCAGTTTCACGCAGAAAGACCTGCCAGTCCAGATCGGGGATTTCCTGCTGCGCCGTAAACGGTGACTTGGCCACCTTGGCGGCCTCGAGCATCAGCAGAGCGCGCCTTAAATTGCGCTCAGATTTGTCCACCACCCGTTTGGCCAGCTCGACGGGCAGGGCCAGGCCCTCGCGCTTGCAGGTGCTCTGCAGAACGGCTGTCATCTCCGCCTCAGAGGGCGCGGCCACGCGAATGCCCAGGCAACGCGATCGTATGGCTGGAATGATGCGAGAAGTCGAATTGACCGACATTATGATGCGGCACGTGGCCACGTACTTTTCCATGGTGCGACGCAGAGCGTGCTGCGCATCCTTGGTCAGCTCGTCGGCCTCCGAGATGACAATCACCTTGAACTCCCGCTGGCCATTGATTTCGATTTGGTGGGTCTGGGCCACCTGTTTGATCAGATCGATGACCACCGTCCGGTCGTACATGCCCGCATCCGACGGGTTCACCTCCAAGTGGTAGTTGCTGCTGACAGTCATTACCTCGACCTTGCGATTGGATGGCGTTGTAAAGGTCATTGTTTCGCTCCTCAGTCGCTCCACGCCGGCTCCATACATTTCCCGGAGCAGGCACATGATGCGCGTCTTCTTACCGGCGCCAGATGGCCCGTAGAACATAAGGTGAGGGAAATCGCTCTGCTTGCATAGATTACGCAGGTTTTCGGCTTGTTCCTGGCAAAAAAAAAGTAGAGGAAAATGCATTGTTTTTAAATGCATTTGAATGTTGGCGGCGTTTTTTACCTTGTGAAAATCTAACTTTGCTAGTTCCCGCGGCCGGTATTTGTCCACCCAAAGCGCCATTTTATTTAAGCATGCGAAATATATAGCAAAATCTGATATTTGTTTTGTTGACTATTGACAAGCGCGCTTTTTTGCAGAATTCGATAAGCATCGAGTGTAACACTGATGCTATCGATGTTTCTGCAGCTCTATAATAAATCAACACTACTAATATATGTACTAGTATATATAATAATAATATATGTATACTAATATATATAATAATATTAAATCGAATATCAAAATTGATGAATATGATTTTCCTCGATATATTTCCGCGATATTTTGAAAATAAGACCGTATATTTCGGTATATTTCTGAGGGTCTGACGGTCTGAGCTGTCAAACGATTGATAGTTGAGCCATCGATAGTTTTGAATGTTTTGAAAAAACAATCGATACTATCGTAATAGTATCGGGCTCAAATAATTATTCAAAACCCATTGAAACCTTTTAGGAACTTGTCCATTGTAAAAATTAGATGCCACCTGTCGATTTGCTTACAAATGTGTCTTCGTATTTTATAGCAGCCAATCCAAACATATCAAAAGCGCAACGACTATAGCTCGATACTATCATGATAGTCGCAAAACTGTCGATAGTAGAGGCTAGCAGTAAAATATCGATACTATCGATAGTGCCCTCGATGGTTTGACACCTCTATTGCTACCACATACACAAATTCTGCGGCGTTGAGAGAATTGCATTAATTTTAAGGCTTTGTTGATCAAATTCGAGACGAAGACGCATGGAGAACGGCGTGGAAAATGGCTCACTGGTCGATGGGGACCAAGTAGACGAGTCTGGCGAGAACCAGGTGGTAAGCAGCTCTGATGGTGAGGGTGATGGGGAGGGGGAGGTTCAGCAGCCGCCGCCGCTGCCGCTGCCGCAAACAACAAATAATTGCGAGGGGGTTGGGGAACGTGAATTGTCGGTGTCGAATGCCGCCGAAGCAGACCCGGATCCAGAGCCAGCAACGACTGTGGATATTGCAGCAGCACCCGCGACCATATTAGACGACAGTCTCTGTGAAAAGGATGTGGACAGTGATGCGCCGGACGACGACAACGACGATGAGGTGAGCACGCCCACACACACAAAAGCATACCTGTTCGTGTCTGCTCACAGTAGATACATCTACTCTATCAATTGTAGGCCAAGGAGAACTACGAGGGCTTCAATGGCACCGTCGGACGCAACGTAACGCTGCAAACGCTGATGGCCGCCAATGTGCTGCAGCCCGGCAAGGGTCTGATGACCATCGAGTACCTTGGCCAGAAGTTTGTCGGCGACCTGCTCTCCGATGGCAAAATCAAATCGCAAGAGACTGAAACGATATTTCTGACGCCCAGTGCCTGGGCCATGCACTGCAAGCGCATCATCAATCCCGAAAAGAAGAGCGGCTGCGGCTGGGCATCCGTCAAGTACAAGAACAAGAAATTGGACTCGTACAAGAACACCTATCTGCGGAAGTGTGCCCTGCAAAAGGAGTCCACACCTGATGACGGTGATCCAGGTAAAGTTTAGCAGACTGCTACCTGATGGTTAACTATTATGATACATTATTTCGTTGTAGATGCCGAGCGAAAGACAGACTCCCCGGAGATAATCGTGAAGAGAACCGTTTTCGCACACAACAGCATATCGAATCGGAATATGGTTCAGTGAGTATTTTCCATAACCTTTGGAAAGTCTGTAATTCTTATGGAGATTTCACTCACAGCGATGCCAACATGCTCATTGAGTCCGTGCCGTTCACATCTGTGGGTAAACTGCAGCCCTTTCTGATCACCATCAATTCGTCGGCCTTGCTGCTGGCCGACTTCCACAGCCATTTGACGGTGCGCGAGGTCTGCGGCTATTTGGGCGGCACCTGGGACATGAACACACACAGTGAGTCCGGCTCGCGCTTCCACATCTCCACAGTCTAAAGTCTAGCTCTAACCTCGTCTGAAATCTTACTCCGTTTTGCAGCTCTATCGATTACAAAGACATATCCTTGCCGCAATACGCGTTTCGATCGACAGCGAGCCGGCGAAGTGGAACGCGATGTACAGAAAATGATGATCCAGGATCAGCTGTTGCTGGTTGGATGGTATCACTCGCATCCCAAGTTCCAGGCGGAGCCCACACTGCGTGACTGTGACTCGCAGCTGGACTATCAGATACGAATGCGTGGGGCCAGCGATCTTACCTACACGCCCTGTGTATCCCTCATTCTTTGTAGGATAAATAAGCGCCCAAGCCATTGAGTTTATGCCTAATTCTTGAATCTTTTCTTGCAGCACCCTATTATGATGAGAATCCCACTTTGGAGTCGGTGGTCAAATGCATTTGGATCGTGCCGCCCAACGAGAACAAGCAGGCCATGGAGTACGGACGTCCCATGCTCATGCAGTACTCGGTGCTGCCGGACAAGGAAATACCCGAGGAGGTGCGCACAGAGATACAGCTGTGCGTCGATTACTACTCACAGTATCGCGGCGAAGTGGTCAAGTTCCGCAACATCTTCAACAACGATGTGACCTACAACGAGAAGCTGAAGAACACCTTGTACCCGAAATTCCCATCGAAGCAGAGCGACAAGGCGCTCTGGAACTGGATATGCGCTGTGCTGGACTGTGAGCAAGAGGATGATTTTATACCACCGAAAACCATTAAGATTATCGACAACGATGAGTTGGATGTGAAGATGGAGACACAGCCAAGTGCTGCGACTGCTGCGAATGAGTCCCCTAGCGATGTGAAGCTGTCATCGGCCAAGGAAGAGCCTCTCGTCGAGGGTGTGACAGCCATTGAGGAGAGTGCCCGCAAAGCGGAGGAGGAATCATCTGCCCAGGCCGAGCAGAAGGCGAGGGACCTCAAGGTGATGTCGCTGCAAGAGCAGCTCTGTATGCCATCCGGCCTGAACATGAATCCAGTGCGCATGCTGTCGCCTCTAGCGACACCCAATCCCACGAGCAGCTTACCCGCAGTTCTGCCAAATCTTGCGGCACCAGCAATGCCACCGTCGGCGGCCACCAGCCAGCTGCTGCCCCCACAGACGCCCGGTGGCGCAGTGGGTGCTGCTGCAATCGCCCCCTCAGCCGTCACCACATCAGCCCTGACTTCTGCGCTGACCGCCTCGCCGCGCGATAGCCCCATAACCATATCGAACTCTGCCAGTCCGGCCAAGTTCGAGGTGCCCGTGCGTGCCTCCCCATCGCCGGCCAAATCGGACGCCTCGTCCCACACGTCCACGTCCCGCACTCGAAACTCGCCAGCGCCCAGTCCGGGCAAGTTCAGTGTCAGCGATATTGCCCGCAACAGCCCCAGCATTACGCCCAACAAGTACGAGGCAGCAGCGGCAGCGGCGGCCCTGGTGCCACCAGCAGCTGCCTGTCTGCCCACGGCCAACGATCTGATGGCCGCCAGTCTGGCCCAGCTGGCCGGCCAGCTTCCGCCAAACTTCCTGCAGGCGGATCTGGCAGCCCTCTTCCAGCAGCAGCGCAAGGATTACGGCAACTCGTCGCTCAATCAGTTGGCAGCAGCTGCAGCAAAGGTTGGAGGCTCCAAGCAGAGCAACAGCAATGTGGCGAATGCTGCTTCCGCATCAGCAGCGGCAGCAGCGGCGGCTGCTCTGGGTGGTCTCAATGATCCCAATGTGGCTGCAGCGGTGGCCGCCTACTCGAACAGCTTCAATATGCCGCTACCCACGGGCTCGGGGAGCGGTGGCGGCGGCAGCAACAACCACAACAGCCACAGCAACAGCAAATCCAAGTCTGAGAGGTCCTCGAAGTCCTCATCGTCGTCGTCCTCCTCGAACTCGAGCTCCACCTCCAACTCGTACAAAACGAAGCTGATGAAGGAGCTGGACGAGCTGAAGAACGATCCGCTGAAGATGAGCGAACTCATCCGCTCCCCGGAGTATGCAGCGCTCCTTCTGCAGCAGGCAGAGGCGCTGGGAGCCACCACACTGGGCACCCTGGGTTTTGGCTCCGACTACAGCTATCTGACGGGAGCGGGACTCGGTGTGCCCACGGCCAGTGCGCTCTCGGCCAGTCAGCCCTCGAACTCATCGTCTGGCAAGTCATCGAAGTCGTCCCCATCGACGTCCGCCTCCGCTTCGGCAGCAGCAGCTGCGGCTGCCCTTAATGCGGACTACAATAACTTGATACAGGCCTCGAAGTTGCTCGGCTACGACTCCTACATGCAGCAGAGTAAGCAGAGCAACGACCTCAATGCGTTCCTGCAGCAACAGATGGCTGGTCTGGCCGCCGCTGCCATTCCTCCGCCTCCAGTCGCCAGCAGCAGCAGCAGCAGCTCCAAGAAGCAGCAACAGCAGCAGCAGCAACACCAGCAGCAGCAGCAGCAGCAACAACTACAACAGCAGCAGCAACATCAGCTCCAGCAGCAGTCGGCCCAGGCTGACTACACGGCGCTGCTGCAGACCTACACCAAGCTGTTCGATCCCAACAATCAGTTTGCGGCGGCAATGGCCTCCAACAAGCACATGGCCGGGGCCCACAACGAACTCTCTGCGCTGCTCAACGCTGGAGCAGGCGTCAGTGGGGGTGGCGGCGGCGGCGGCAGCAGCTCCAAGCAAAAGCAGAAGGACATGGGCAACGACATGCTGAACCAGCTGCTGCAGCTGGAGAAGCAGGACTCGGAGATCAAGGCGCTGTTGTATCGTCAGAATAAGGCTGCCGCCGACTTGGATGCTTTGTTTGCCGCACCATCGGGAGCTGTGGTGGGGGCCGGCGGCTCCTCGTCAAACTCAATGAAGTCATCTGGCTCGTCGGGCGGTGCTGGCGGAACGGGCGTGCCCTCGCCCTCGTCTCTATCGAGTCCGGCTGCCTACTACAATGCATTGGCCCAGGAGAAGATGCAGGACTATGCGGCCTTCTTCCAGCAGCAGCATGGCAAATATGGCATACCAGATCCGCTCTCGAAGACGACCCTGGCCGCCAACAATATGTTCATGTCGCCGTCGGCACTGTTCAAGATCCAGCAGGAGTCGCTGTCGGCCATGATGATGAAGCCACCGAAATCGACGACACCATCGTCGGCGCGCACACGAGAGTCTTCGGCCTCGCCGGCCCTGGAGCGACTGACCCCAACCAAGTCGGCTAGCAGCGGTGGCGGTGGCGGCGGCAGCAGCAACTCGAACTCTGGTAGCAAATACAACTTTAGTGCCGTGGATCTGGCCATATCGAGCGTGCCCTCGAACACACCGTCGCCGGCACCGTCCGATGGCAGCAGTGGCTCCTCGCACCGACGGCCATCGCCGGACCTGAGCCGACTGTACGGCGAGCTGGCGCCACCGGGCGCACTCCTCGGCAGCGGGGTGCCCAAGAAACGCATGGAGTTTGGTTCGGTGGCCGATCTGGCCGCACCGCCGCCAGCCAAGATGTCCAAGAGCAGCATGAGCGATGACATCCTGAACCTGTCGCACGATTAGGATCCTTGCCAACAGTAGCAGCAGCAGCAGCAGCAGCAGACGCAGTATTTCCCCCAGCAGTATCTATCCTCATACGTATCGTAACGTAGCACTCATAAGCGTACCAGTGTCGGTCATTTTAATCGTCCCATCCACAGTATCTTTCCGGGGGATAAATCCTTAAATCCTAATTCTATTTATTGGTTTTTTTCAACAATATTTCGCTTAAGTTGTAACCTCGATTAAGTGCATTTCTTTTTAGGTGTAAAGTTCATAGACGAAGCATATGAAACTCAGATAAGCTCTCCTTATATTCGTATATCCTTATTATATCCCTATTATATGACCCAATCAAAAATATGATTTCATAAAGATTCTGCCACGATTCATCCCATACCCAATACCATTCCCAGATATGCCGTGCATATTTGTCGGCATCCATCGTCGTATATTGCAGATTTCGCCAGTTCTGCGAGTGAATCTCCCGCTTTTACTCACGAGCGCTGCATGTCCTTAAACGTTTAATTTAATGTACTCGTACTAATTTAGTCTTAATTACTGCATAAAAGTACTTTAAGTATTTTAAATATATACAGACACATACAGAACCAGCCGACACACAAACGATCCGAAGCGAACCGAACAGAACGGACGGACGGACTTGAAAGACACATCAAACTGTATTGTATCTGCCTACCGCATAACTATAACTTTGAATCTTTGCCGCAATAAATTACACGACTAGTTACTTAGTTTACTGGTTAATTTACTACTTAAATGGTTTACTAGTTACTTAAGTTGGAGTGGCATTCGGCAAACTTATTGAACGGTGCATACTACAGCCATTCTGTAGCATTCCGCTGCTGGTCACCTCTCAAGCCCACCCACCGGTCTCCGATTTGGTATACCTCTGCTCTAGTATTTGGGGGGTATGATAACCAGAATATCCGCTATGCTAAGTCAGCCCATGATATGCCTCCCCAGTGGTTCAGTGCTTCGATTTAGATATTAGCAAAATCAAAACAAACTTGCTTGCTAAACAACCCAGGGGGGGGCTCGTATGTGTTGGTTGGTGCTTGCATCTGCCATCGTTCGGTAGATTCTAGGAGGGGACTGGCCTTTTTCCCGGCGACTAGTTTCTCCGGCAGGTATTTAAAACACCTAGCCACCTAGTAACTGGTAAACAAGTGGCCTGCCCCTAGACCCATCCGATCGCATATAAATACAGGTCTCTGGTGAGCGACGAAGTTCAGTTGATACTCTTGAACGCTTGAGGATACTATGTCGCAATATAAGGTGAACTTTGCTCCAAATTTTCGTGACTTGTGAATATTACGGTGATATACGGTGGAGTTTGTTCTAAAATAAAACCTGTGTGCTGCTTGCAAGTGAAGAGAATCTAAGAGGATGTTCTTGATCAACAACTATGGTGCACAAAAATTCTCTCGCTCTCTCTCTAAGAATATAATACATAATCTTAGAAGTTGGTCTTACCGTTCTATAAAACTGTACCTGAAATATAAAGCGGAGTGGTTCGATTAAACGTTTAGTTGATTGTGAGAGTAAAATGAGTAAACTGAGTACCTTTAGTGAATGAGTACCTCTTACAGTGTTGTCGAACTATAGTTGCTATATCTGAATATAGTTCGCGTCTTCTATTGGGGACACACCCCATACTATTGCTCTTCGGTTTCTGCTAAAAAAACAAGTTTGAAACTAGATTTGTTGATCAGCTTGTGCCCGGTTTCATTTTAAAGAAAAAATCAAATAAAAATAATTTATACAGAGTCATTATATTTGTTTCTTGTAAATTTTAGTACCTGTCGGGCTTTGGCTCGCACTTTTCCTCCGAGGATGAGCGGTATCCCAACGCGCTGCCGGTCGGTCAGAACTCGCCTCAGGTCTGTCCCTACAAACTTTATGCCGAACAACTCTCAGGCAGCGCTTTCACAGCGCCTAGAGCCGAGAACGCAAGAACCTGGCTCTACAGGAGACTGCCCTCGGCAGTGCATCAGCCCTTCCAGCCATTCAAAGGAGCGACCTACTTCAAGCAAAACTGGGATGAGCAGCCACCAAACCCAAATCAGGTGAATATTTATTTATGGGTGGAAATTGCACATGGAAATTGCACCTAAGTCCCTATCGTTGTTTAGCTTCGCTGGAAACCTTTCGATTTGCCGCCTCAGCAGGGCAGAAAGATTACCTTTGTCGATGGTTTGCATACGGTCTGTGGTGCTGGCGATGCCAGAGCTCGCCATGGTCTAGCCATCCACATTTACTCATGCAACGGGTCCATGGACAGCTCGGCTTTCTACAACAGCGATGGAGATTTCCTGATCGGTAAGAGGGGGGGGTTCCGTTCAGGGGAATACTTTAATCTGATCATACCCAACTCTGCACTCAAGTGCCTCAGCAGGGAGTTCTGGATATAACCACCGAGATGGGTCGCATGAAGGTGGCACCCAACGAGATTTGCGTAATTCCTCAGGGCATTCGATTTGCGGTCAGTGTGAATGGTGCCTCCAGGTAGGGAAATATCTCAGTATAGGTTTATTTTATTTTTTAATTGGTAAACCATTTTCAGGGGCTATATTCTGGAGGTGTACGATGGTCATTTCGTGTTGCCCGACCTCGGACCCATCGGTGCCAATGGCCTGGCCAATCCCAGAGACTTTGAAACGCCAGTCGCTTGGTTCAACGATCAACACATCGCAGGTGAATAGATTTCCCATCAACTTGAAGCTGGTAAAACTAATAAAAATCTTTAGACTTTCTGGTTATATCCAAATTCCAGGGCAGTCTCTTTGTTGCCCAGCAGAGTCACAGCGTCTTCGATGTGGTTGCCTGGCATGGCAACTATGTGCCCTACAAATACGATCTATCCAAGTTTATGGTCATCAATTCGGTGAGCTTCGATCACTGCGATCCCAGCATCTTCACAGTTCTGACGTGTCCAAGTCTGAGAGCTGGCACCGCCATTGCCGATTTTGTCATCTTTCCACCAAGGTGGTCCGTTCAGGAGCACACATTCCGCCCGCCCTACTATCACAGTATGTACAGATTTACCAACAACAACAAATCTATATATAGCTTAATTAATGGTGTACTTTTCTGTTTGCATAGGAAACTGCATGAGCGAATTCATGGGCTTGATTTTGGGTAGGTATGAGGCCAAGGAGGATGGCTTTGCCGCGGGTGGAGCCACGCTACACTCGATTATGACACCACATGGTCCGGATGTCAAGTGCTTTGAGGGTGCCTCGAAGGCCAAGCTTGTGCCGGAACGCATCGCTGAGGGAACTCAGGTTTGTTGCGGGTTTTAACATAAGATATTTGATATCAACATTAGCTGATTCCCTTAAAGGCCTTTATGTTTGAGTCCTCGCTGAGTCTGGCCGTTACCAAATGGGGCGAGGAAACCTGCCAGAAACTGGATGCTGCCTACTACGAATGCTGGCAGTCCCTGAAGGATAATTTCAAAATTGGCGAAGCTCAGAAATAGTCCAAAGTAAACGCAAAATATATAAATACTAATATGTAATTACGTATACGTATATAATTAATTCACAAAAACATAAACATTGATGGACGTCAAGAAATATTTCAACATATAGCTCGATATAGATCCGATCCCATCGTAGGCTCCACCGTCAAAGATATGGGCATCCTATAGTCGAAAGGTAATGCTCGGCGCCGATCGCGGACTGCGATTGTTGAGCAGTTGGCTGCTGTTCAAGCGACAGACGCACAAATGATTGCAGTGGATCTGCGTCGGTTCGCTCATCTTTGGGAACTCTGGCGTCTCGTGGGAGTTGGTCACGTTGTCATCGGAGCGACGACTGTATAAGCATTTTGTGGCACAGTTGCAGGCACCCGTTCTAATGTTACCGGGCACGGCGCTGCGGTACTGCAGCAGTGGGTGATCCATGCTGATGCGGCTCATGGAGCAGTAGGCATCCACAGTGTCCACGGTGCTGATCAGATCCGGCGTCAGTTCGGGCTGTAGGCGATTCGTGAGCCAATAGGTTCGCATGTCGCCCTTGCCCTGCGATTTTAGTTGGTTTGTAGAATCCACAAAAATATTACTCATAATTAAATACTTACCTTAATGCTGGTCAGACCCCGTTCGATGCAGACATAGCTGCCAATTGACTGCAGCAGCTGGTACGTCAGCTCTGAGATGTGGATCTTCATGGACTCGCCGGTGCTCTCCATGCGCGACGCTGTATTCACAGTGTCCCCAAAGAGGCAGTATCTGGGCATCTAATATGGCGCGAAACATATTAACATAAAACCCATAAATCCCACTTGGTATTCACGTACCTTCTGGCCCACGACACCTGCCGCACACGGACCCGAGTGTACGCCGATGCGAAACTGAACGGTTTCCGTGGGCTTGTGGCGTATCTTGAGATTTCCCACCGTCTCCAGCAAGTGCAGGGCCAAGGAGGCTATCTCCCCAGCGTGTCTGTTGCCATTCTGTAGCGGCAGTCCGGACACCACCATATAGGCATCCCCAATCGTCTCCACCTGGATGGGAGCAATATTTTTGAATGTTTCTTTAAGCTTAGCCATGACCATTAACCCACCTTGTAGACATCATAGTTGGATATGATGGAATCGCAGCAGGTGTACAAATCATTCAACATCTCCACCACCTCAAAGGGTGTGCTGGTGGTGCAGAGTTCCGTGAATCCCACAATGTCACTGAATAGTATGGTGACACAATCGAAACACTCCGCCTCCACGGGTTCGCCGCGCTTCAGTAACTCGGCCACAGTTCTGCCAAGAACAAAAGAGATTTCATTTAAGCCAATCGGAAAGTCAATCAATCTGTATATACATATGTACTATACCTGGGCAGCATCTGGTAGAGTAGCATGTCCGTTTTCTTTTTCTCTTCGTAGAGCAAATTGGTGCGTTCCTGCACGAGGCCCTCCAGATTGTAGGCATATTTCTCCATTATCGAGAGCATGTTATCGAATATGTTGGGTTTTCTGGAAGTGAATGCAGCTCAGAGTTACTAAAGAGAGGCATTTTGTTTTGGATAATTTTAAACTAATTACAGCTGCCCTTTATCCCATGTTCAAAGCAGGCAACAGCCTGTTACCGCGCTGCGTCACTGTCAACGCCCTTTGATATTCCCCAAAAAAGCTTTCTTCACTTTACACTCTCTTTTATAAGTTTTTTTTTTTTGGAATTTCCCATTGTAATCAAAATCTTGGTACATACAAGCCAGCCTGCAACTCCTTTAGATGCATGCGCACAAGTCGAATGTCGGGCCGGACTTCTGGATCCTCGTCCCAGCACTGGCAGAGACACTGCCGTATATAGTCCGGTATGTCCAAGTGGGTGTGCGTCAGAGCCGGACGGAATACGCCGTGCTGCAGCAGTTCCGGGCACTTGACAAACTGAATTATCTCTTTGAACAAAAAAATAATATGCATAAGTAAAGTAATTATTTTATTGGCTATTTTTTTGAATTAGGGATTCAGGGATTCAGCAGGCCTCACCCTCCTTCGTGTAGGCGGTGTCGCCCCAGGGCCCCTTGCGGCCAATCATTTCGTAAAGAAGTATGCCGAAGGAGTAGACGTCCCCCTTCTGTGAGCCACGACCCGGTCGATAGGCATCCCTCAAAAGCTCCGGCGCCATGCACAGGGCACGTTTCAATTCCAGCTCAGTTCTGAGAACGTCACCAAAGACCACAAAGTTGGAGTGGAAAGATTTCCCGGTAAAAAGTGAAACCAGTAAGCCCTTACTTGTTGGGCTCCTCCTGACCCGCCTTAAGCTCGTGCAGGCCAAAGTCCGAGATCTGGCACACCCAGCGGGAGTCGATGAGGCAGTTGCTGGAGCGCAGGTTGCCATGCGATATGATCTCCGAGTCGTGCAGGTAAATCATGCCCTTCAGTATGTCCGAGACCAGCGACGACACGAACATGTGATCCAGATGCAGGTCCTCGTTGGCCAGCACATCCTCCAGACTGCCACGGGCACAGTAAGTGGCAAACAGTATTACGGATCCATGGTCCGTGGAGGCGCCAATGAAATTAATGATGTTCTCGTGACGTACCTTGAATTGGGATTGGGATTGGGATTGTGTGGATTAAATTCTGACACTTCCGTCTTGGACAGACGGATTCTCTGATTCTCATTTCGCACTCACTTCACGCATTATTTTCAATTCCTTGCGTATCGATCGAGTGATGTCCACGTTCTTCTTGTGAATCTTCTTCATGGCCACAATGTTACCCCGAAAAAGAGCTGCATCAAATAAGACCATGGAATATGATGCTTAATATGGAAAGCAACGTACCAATATTTGTAAAGGACCGCTTGTTGGGCTCGCCAACCACAAGGATACTTTGACGACAGATTTGAAACTGTAAGAGGGTCAGAGGCAAGCAGATGTTGATATATAAAATATATATAAATAAGGGTATTAATTATATAAAAAGCTCAGACTATTAAGTACATATAAATATATCGAAAAGTTTCACCCACTATGTTCTTGTTGCTGGGATTGTTATATTCACCCAGATTGATGACCGTCACCTCCTTCATGTCCACCTTCCACAATAGACCAGCCAGTGTCTGCTCATAGCGATAATGCCTGCAAAAGAATTAAAGTATAAACATAATAATTAGGAAAAAGAATAACTAATGGCAATGTGGCAACTTGCTTGATTAGCAGAGCGATGGCCACCACAACGACTAGGGCGCACAATGGACCTGTGGCCAGGTACCGCCAGTCCAGTTTCTTGCGCGGACACAGCTCTCCATGGAAGCCGCAGAGGGGCTCTGCCAAAGGTGGGCGACCGTTGAGCCATTGAATGGGTCTGTCATTCTTTATGTATCGAAACTCCTAGGAATGTTTCGAATTATTAAGTAGATTCGTGGTGTTCGAAGCAGTTTTTTCTCACTGGTATCAGCGAATGCTTGTTGTAGGCAAAGAAACCCACTGGCTGCATAGACATCTTGGCCAGAGATCCGCCCGCGGAGCCACTGCTTAAATCGTTCTGCAATGTGATTACCGTGTAATTGCCCTCCGCATCGCCATTGGAATCTATGTAAACCTATGAGGGGAAGTGGAGGTTTGTTGGTAATAAATATGGGGATTTAATTGCTGTGGGTACATTCTATAATATCGTATATAGCTCGATCAGCGGATAGTCATATGAAACTAAGCACTTGATTTGGTTTAATATCCCCTTTGACTCAATTGCTGACACGTCAATCGAACATTCTGTCTTGTCTGTCTGTCGTGTTCTTCCTCCACATCATCAGCATTGGGCTTGAACCTGAAGTGTGAGATTTATGACCCCAGCGTAAGTCCTGTAATAACTACATTTCAGAGGAGCGGCAGAAAGCTGAAATCTGAAAGCCCATTAGCACGTGCGAACATTTGACAAATGAACTGTGAACTGTGAACTGGCTGACAGTCCAGCCGAGCCGATTAAGTAGGTCATTTGCAACTGAACTGTGGCTTGCTGCGTATTTATTCGTATTTAAAATGCAATTATTCACTCATATGCTGTGATGTGTATTTATTTAATTGTACGAGGTTTGCTGAATGTTCGCCTCTTTGCTAGTCCAATCGCAAACAACAAAAATCACGTCGCAAATGTATGAGTGATTTCTTATGATCAAAAATTCAATTAAATTAAAATTAACTAAATTACCACAACATTTTGTATCCCCATAACTCTCTAGTAATTCGCACTCACATCGAATCCTTGTATTGAGTGATAAGATCTATTGAAAATGTGACTCATTACTAGACTTCCGTCGTATATATCGCCGCCGAGCTTAAGAACCTCCGATATGGCGCGCACATATATCATCACACTGTCATAAAGATGCAGTCCGTAAATGGGTACCTAGATCAAACAGATGTGAACTGATATGATGTCATATTCAATATTCTACCCACCGATATGTTGTCGAATACACGCTGATGGTATGGCACCAGGAATGGAGTCTTGCGCGCATATTCCTTGATTTTTGAACAAATGTCGCTGCAAACACAATGGAACACACAAAAAAAAAATAGACGGACAAAATTGGGTACATAATTTTGCATAATATATTGAAAAATCCATGCAAATGAATAACTTGAAATATATGTATTAAAATGGTGAACTAGCTTGGAATTAAAGTCGAAATTTTTTTAGATTTTTGTTTTTAAATAAATAATTGCCATGGGAAATTTCATTTTAATTTTAATTTAATTTATATATTTCAAATTGTTTAAATATATCAAAAAAATCTTAATAATTTTAGTTAAAACATGCTCAAAAGAACTCAAACTACTTTTTTTTTTTTTGTTATTAGGCAAAACTCAAATCGATCTATTAAAAATCTATTGAGATTAAGATCGCTTAATGATTGTTAGAAAGAGGCAACAAAAATACGCACAGTTAGTTTGACTAAGATTCAGATAAATTACCGAATATGGGGGTTTTGTGGATATGTCATGCTTATTTTTATAACTGAACGAAATGAGATTTTGTCCAGTGATTTGCTCTTTTCTTTTCTAATATAAGGATCTAAATAATCTGGAATAGATGGTGCATGCATTAGAACTCTAGCCGGGACCATCTAAATCATATATCGCACTTACTACGTTCCATTATGTTCACCCGTCGATTCGAGTCGTAGATCTCATCATCCACGGACACCACAATGTAGTCGCCGCTCTCGAGCAGCCGTCGATTCTGCAGTCCACGCACAAAGTCAACCATTGCTATATGCTCACCGATAAATACGTAAACTGCAGGAATATTCGATACATTACGCTCATTATGTTGAAGGTCTTGGCTGCCATTCCCCCAACGTTTTCCCCCAAAAGTTTTGTGGTTACTTCTTTGCTTTCGTTACTTACTGCGTGTCGTTGTGTAGGTCTCCTCTATGATTTTATCAATCTGCGAAAGTGTTTTCGTGATTGGTATATAATCCGATATATACTTAAAGTGGCAGATGGTAAAGTTCCTCGCCTCTGCCAGTTCCTGATCCACAAAGCAAGCCTCAAGTCAGTGGGGCATACGGCCATAAAATAGATATAGAATACTCACCTGTATGGCCCGTGCTACATCTGAGCCCCAAATTGGCTTGGAGCTCACTACGATGGCAAACTTTTGCCAGTGGAAAGCGCTCAGCAGACTTATAACACTTTTGGACACCTTAACGGGGGAATGTTTAAGATTTATTTGAGCAAGTTCTTAGTTTAGTGAGGGGGTGGGGGCATTACCTTTGAGGCTGGTGCCAGAGTGCGTGCAAAGGTGGGAAATGTGCTTTTGTTGGAGACAATTGAGTCAGAGCATTTCTACATAGGATAGAAGGCAAATGGTGTACAGAAAATACTATAATGAAATATGTATCTACTCTTAATGGAAAACTCAGATCAAGCCCATACAAAGTCGAGCTGGAATAGCTGGAATCCCTTTAAAGTTTTTTTTGTTTTGTAATCGGCTTACTCACAAACGATAGCATTGGGGTATTCCAGGCGGCAGCCAGCAGAGCCTCGGTCGTACAGCTCTCGTCGGGTCCGATGAAGGCGGTGATGCCATTCTCTCGCATTTGGGTCATTGCCCTGGAAACGTTAATCAGAAAGGGTCAATGTCAATGGGCCACGTGGCTGGACAAGACTTGCCTCAAGGACTTGATCCGATATGTACTCTGCTTGCCAATGTCTACGGGCTTGAAGGCCAACTTTTTGCCCGGCAAGAGATGTGGGTTCTTGTTAACGTCTTCCACAGCAAGTGGCAGTCCGCCAAGTGTCACCTGAGGGAAATTGAATCACATTAAAGCCAGACGAATCAAAACCAACCAGCCGCTCCACTCCGCTGGCAGCAGCGATAGGGAAGGGTTTGTGGTTGTGTGTGTGTGTGTGTTTGACACTTAATTTATTCATAAATTGCCGCTTAGTAGGGCAGTGGGAAACTCAAACAACCCGACCAAAGTATTCCACGTGACTCGACTTCATCAGCGCTTGCAAGAGACGCTTAAAGCCATTGGATTTAATCTGCCCAAAGTCACGCCATTAATATTTTATATCTTAATGGAAATGGGGAAACATCTGAAACAATTTAAACTGATTTGAGCTTGGTCTCGGAATTTCGGATGAACTCTCAGAGGCTTTCGTGAACAGATTCTTCCCCAAAAGAAGCTGAAGATAATTATACCCGTACTCAAAAAGAGTTAAGGGGTATAATAGATTTGTGGTAAAAGTGGGTGTGTGTAACGCAGAGAAGGAAACGTTTCCGACCCCATAAAGTATATATATTCTTGATCAGCATCAATAGCCGAGTCGATATAGCCATGTCTGTCTGTCCGTCTGTCTGTCTGTCTGTCTGTCTGTCTCGATGAGCGCCTAGATCTCAGATCTCAATTTGGTTTCCAGACTCATGTGATATCACACTGCTACAAGTATATTTCAAAATTTCGCCCCGCCCCCTTCCGCCCCCACAAAAGACGAAAATCTGTGGCAGGCACAATTTTAAAGATACGATAAAACTAAAAATGCAGTATCGTAGAGAAAACCCATATCTACCAGACTGCCGAATCTGAATTAGATCGGATCATAATTATAGCTAGAATGACGAAATTAATTTTCAGTTGCTTCCCCTGCCTCCTCCTGCCAACGACAACACAACTCATTTTCCATCTCGCTCGCACACTCTGCCGCGTTCAGTGCACGAGCAACCCCTAGCGGAGGAGATGTAGAATCTAAATGGAACATGTACAATCTACATGTTAGATGTATAATATACATTGTAGATGTAGATAGCAGATGTAGCAAAAAAATTTAAAATGTAAAATTCTTTTTTTTATTCTAAAATTCAAAAAAATCATCAAATCAGCTCAAAAATGTATATACCAACTGAGTACGGGTATAAGTAGAGTCGCGTCTTTAGAAGCGACTCACACGTTCCTTCTCGTTTTTGTATGGCTTTTATTTTATTTTTGATTTTTATTTATGTGGAGTAGCTAAGCCCATATATTCCACATTTCACTGTATAGGATCACCATATGATATTGCTGCTGATCGTTGAACCATCGCTCGTAAGAAACTTTTTGAGATTATTGTACTGAATGCCTTTCCGGAGTCCAGCGGACCATCCAATCAAACTCTGACTGACATTGGATTAGCATAAGTACTTGCTAGATTTTGATTTATGAACGTGCAATATAAAAGACAAGCTTGTCCTCGCATAGATGATAGATGATAGAACGCCCAAATACCAATAAATTATTAATATTAAATCTAGCCGATCTTTAATGATATATTTTTCATGCGCTTTGCCTAAAGCGCATTGATATCAACCAAGTGAAAGCCGAGCGATTCGTTTATTGCATGTGCATAGGCACGTATCTCGGAAAATTCATTCGCTTGGATTTGTGTGGATTGTATCAGTTTTCGGTTTGACCTCATGACCATAAGCAAAGTCCAAATTATCACCAGAATTGACATGATCCAAAAGAAACAGGCGAAAGAGGCCATAGCATAAAAGTGACTGATCTCTCGTTCGTTTTCCGTGAAAAGGCAGTTCCATATACGTTCGGGATACGGTAGAATGCCTTGAAGCACCAGCATTAACCAAGGGAGGATCATTATGTGACTTAACCTGCGCCACAGGAGCATACTGGCTTGGCATAGACGTTGGCGAAAGCCGTTGAAAGGGGCTCTTGTACGCAGATATACCGCACCATATCCGTAGTAAATTAAGCTCAGTGCGCAGAGAGAATACACTGGACTCAGCAGCAGTTCGTGTGTATCAAAATTCAAGATCAATATGGCTTCAGGTCTCTGGATAAAGACACTGCGAGTCTTCCGCTCAATCACAAGCGCGCTCAATTCTACATCCATCATCGATATGATAGCCGTCACCTGGAGCATTATGAATACAAATGTCCGGTTTCGCCAATTGTCGCACAGCTTCTTCAATAAGTTAACCATATTGTTTTAAAAGTATAAACACACAATTTGGAATCAAGCTGTGAAAATACAAAAATGTAAGTTGTAACAAACTGACAGAACGAAAAAAATTGATTGATTGATTGAACGAAAAAATTGCTCACTGATCAGAACCGATAGAACCGATACTCATAGACTACATGGGTATATTTTATTCCCAAATAAAGATAATTAGTTTCCTGTGCGCTCTCACACTTCCAGTGTGGCTTAGCAGTTAAGGGTGAGTTTTCATGGACTCCAGTAGAGCGCAGCGCAACTTCCCATCTCGTTCTCTCCCCTGGCTTATATCTTTCTGTGCTAATTCGTACTATAAAACATTTCTTGACTTGACTTGTTTAATTATTCTAGCATCTGAAATCCATAGATGATGACACGGTTTGACTGAAAAAGAGATAAACTGCTGAATGGACGGATGCCGATTTGCACGTATGTAGCTATGAATTTTTTTCAAATAAATACTATAAGGAGTCCTCGACTTCCGTCTTATACATAGATGTGTGCAACACATGTAACACCAACACGATTCAATAAATCCCGCAATGGATACAGCTTATTTAAATTAATATTTAATTAGTGGCAGTAATACTATTATTTGTTGCTACTAACCCAATTTTATATTATAAAATTATAAACAAAATAATTAGGCAGCTGCATTTCCTCTGAACTAACATAAGTCAAAATAAATCTCATTTAAATACATATTAAACAAAAAGTAAACGCGAAAAATTATGATCTGCATTTGTTTTGCTGGGCAATGTACATTGAAATTTTATCAAATATTGTAAACGCCTCCGGAAGTCGTGCAACATTTGTTGACAACTAAATGGTGGGCTGCACCTAACCAACCATGCATTTAATTAGGCACTGTTGCATATTGACATACAAACCAACCATGGCCAAATATTCGATATACAAATATAAATATAAATATAAATGATGGCATTTAACCACACACAAAATTGTGTCTAAATATTGTGAAGTGGTTCTGTAGCTGAGTTAGGCGCCGTCTAGTCGGTATCCGGCTACAGCGATGAGAGGCTGTCTGTCACGCCGTTAATATCCATTAGGTAGGGATACTAGCACTTCAAAGGGGCAACAAAAAAACAGGATGTGCTTTCGTTCTTGACTGACAAAGCTCTCCCAAGCTGGACCAAGGTACTGGTGGAGACCCCAAGTAGAGCATTGGTGCCTCAGTGTCCTTTGAAATCTCAGAAAGCCCGCTCGCCTAAGCCTAACCCTGTCATGCATGGAACTGGTGACCATGGTCATGGTCAGGTGTAGCAGGACATTCGTCTCATGAGTGGAAGATTGCTAGTAAAATTCTCTCTTTAACAACTACGAGCGACAAGGCTGTTTACGATTTTTTTGGTAGTCATCAGCGATTTGAACAATGATTCCAGTCCTTTAAGACCTGAAGACCGCACTCAAGTGCTTGTACATATTTCAGAAGTATACTTGATACTGGAGAAGGCTCTTGACCAGACCGGCCCTAACTTGTTGTCCTTGAGTTGTGTGCAATGGCGCGAGAAGAGCGTCAAACCTCCAGATAGGCCGCAACTTCAGTAACAGCTTGAACTGAGGGCAACGATGAAAATCTCTCATAAACGGCCCCATTCAGAAGTATGTACTCGTAATTAAAAATATTCGGCAAGGTTTAAGTGTTGAGAGGCAGAATCCCTTTTCAAATTAAAATTATTGAAATAACAAGATAAAAAAAGGACTACGAAAAAGGCAAAAAAAAAACATACTCTAACATACCATACATACCGTGTACCTGATACCTAAGCCGTAGATTTGTAGCAGTCAACTATGGATGTATGGTAGATTTAGATGAGAAGCATTGGGTATAATTTTCAGCTCAAATAGTTAAATATTTGCAGCTACCCTGTACCAAAAAGCCAAGCAAAGTTCCATTTTCCAATATTGTTTTTAGCTCTTTGGGTAGTGGGTAACGGTCAGTCGTTATACGGAATATGCGGCTGTTCATACTGGTTTTAATTCACATTTTAATCCAATTATACAGGAGCTTTAAATAAGCAGTCGGTGTCGATGGCAAGCTGTGGTCTGTCGTGTTGCTGGGAATCGTCCCTTGTGCACTTGGCATGGGATGAGAGCTGTGTGAGATGTGGTGACTTGGTCAACAATTATGGAAATTCTGTTGCATATTCTGGTTTGTGGAAGTATATACATTTGTGAGTATGCCCCGGAACAATATTAATTAAGTGATTAAAAATGTAATTCCCAATCAAAATTTTGCCAAATTTGGTTTGCCAACTTATAGAAGAAATATTTGGCAATGGCAATAGACCTATTTTAGGGCTTTAAAGAGAGAAAATGTCCCATAAATCGGCAAGTTGTATTGACTTTTTCAAAAGGATTTCCATCACGTTCGAGGAAGCAATTATGCGAATCGCCATAGCAGCAGAAATGCACACATTGTACCCAGTATGTACGTGGGTTCTGGTCTCTGCACAGAACCCTTAATTTCCCAGGGCAAAATGTCGTTGCTGACGGCCTTTAGACCGAGATTGACCATCGCGAATGCAATCATTTGGGCATTTGAGAGCAACAAGCTAATGAAGAGATACAATTCAGTCTGTTGCGTTCTCGTTCTTCCCGTTGCCCAGAAACGAAAGCAACAATGGCAACTTGCCAACAGTATGGGGAAACCAAAAAAAAAGGCTTAGAAAGTGTTCCAGCTAAAACACTTGGATTTGAATAAAGTGAGAGATTGTTTTGGGCTGACAGTTGCTTGGAAAAACTATTTATTTGTAATATATGCTCTTTATTCTTTCTGTACAGCAGATAGATGAAAGTCTTTGGCAGTTAAACAAGCTCTGGTTGGTTCACGAGAGCTTTTACTTTAATGTATTTACTTAAATTTGTATATTTATTTCTTTAAACATTTTTAAATCATAAGTGAAGACCCCTATAAGAAATTAAAGAAAATATTTAATTATGTGTAATTATAATTTATGTTGCCAGAGCGACACAAGGACTTAAATTACCTTAAAATGAGTGCAGACAGTGAGATGAACTTAATTGCCAACACCTACTAGGCAACATTCCTGCAACTAAAATACTTCACTTAGAGAAGTTTTGTCTGCCCAGAGAACGGAATTCTTGTAATTCCTTTGCTTTAATTTAGTTTTGCTCTCTTGCCATTTCAAAAGAATGTAATTAATTAATCATATTCTCATAAAAATGAAGAATTGCTGCATTTGACTTTTCTTAAGTCCTCGATGTGTAAGAAGGGGGGAGAAAATGCAAAGCAAATAAAAGTGCACGCCCAAGAGTGCCCCAACCTTTTATGGAAATGAGAGAAATGAGCAATATGCAGCGGAAAGGTAGGAAAAGAAAGGCCACTTATGTGCGTACAGTATGTGCTATAATTCCATAGTTACCTAGCACAGTGGGACTAGTAGACGGAGCTTGTTTGCTAAAAGAAAAGTTGGAAAACCAATGCAGAATATTGGTAAATTTTATGACAGTTTATGTAAAATCAAATGGATGTTCTTGGGGCTTAAAAAAATAATGGTTCGATAGATAATGCTCTGTATTGTTTTCAAAAAAATAAAGTTTCACTCCACTGTTTCATATGTCAATGGCTTATCCCTTGAAAAGTATCATTAAAATATCAAAAATAAAACTTACATGAGAGGCCCTTAACGGCAGTTACCATAATAGCGATGCCCTTTCTTGGACTTAAAACAATTTGAAGCAGCTTAATGCACACAAGAAAATTACAATATCAAATTCCGTTAAGCCCTCCCAACGGCTCAGGAATTCGCAGAAATGGCAGGGCCAAAACGAAAGGAATTTGTCGCTATAGTTCCTGCGGTGTCCGCTGACAATGTCCCCCTGCTCCATGCTTTCGTCAATCAGCTCCAAAGATTTTTGTACCACTGGAATAAACACCTTACATATTCTGGGCAACAAGACACTATTTCCAAAAACCGATTAAGAGTTCGTTTCAAATACATTCGGCTTTCATTAATTTCAATCAATTCTATTATGTGTCTGTCAGCTGGGGGAGTGACTTGAATAATTTAGAACAATAACAGCTGATGGCAAAACACCTACACACTTTTCGAAATATCCTCAACATTAAACATGCTCCATAAATTTGCTTTTGTTTACACTTTTTGGTGTCGTTAACCGCGCTGGGCTAACCGCTTTCGGGCAGGGGGAGCTGGTGTCAAACAGCTTAGGCGCTCAGATTAAAATATTTTTGAGAAAGTGAAAGTTAACTGGCAAAAATATAAATGGTTTTCAATTTCATAGGTAAACAATTCCAAGAATACTAAAAGCTATTTTAAAAAGACATCCATGCCGCCTCAGACCAGAGAACCGGACTTTTCATTCCTTCTTGATGTTTATTAAAATTAAATATGTATTATATTTGTACTGATATTGTTGATACAACATGATGTATGGCAAGAGTGAATGCGAGTGATTAAATTAAAAAAAAAAGAAGAGACTGTATCCTTTCATTTTCTTTTGCTTGCTCCTGTCCCTTTAATGAGCTGAGGAAAAGCGTTGGTGTGGTTTTTATGCGCCATTTCCCGCTTTATATCTGTTTTCCCGAATGGACTGCAGAAGTAAAATGTATGTCCCAGAGTAATTGGGAGACTTTCACCTCGAAAATAAAATTAAATGAAATATATATTGGCTAGTTTTCAATTCTCTGAACTTTCACAGAGCATGAAAAACCCTCAGGGCCAACCAATTATTCAAACTGGTCAGTATCGTTCTTCATGAATTAATAATAGTCCTTTCTTTTGTTTTTGTCGGTCTGGCGTGAATGCCCAAAAGGCCAATAAAAACAATCGTGAGATGGTACAATGGGGAATCATAAAACTGGATGGAGAAGCATAGAAAATATGCGATGAGTGAATATTTACTTTAATTACCTGCGTGTAACCTGGCAACTATCTGTCAATCAATATGATTTATACAAAAGGTTTTCCCCAGGGAGATTATTATTATTATTATAATCAAATTCTTCCCTTCCCATACGTTATGATAAAAATAGATATGAAAAGGTCAATGCGTCACAAAGTAGTGTTTTAAAAAATCTCTACAAACAGTCACAAATCCTTAAGATTATCCAAAATGATGAGATTCTTTTGTCATGCCCATCATCACTCTATTTTTGTACCACACACAATCTCCCATCTTGGGACAGCTTAACTCTGACCATATCACCCTGATGTATAAAACATTTATTCCCCATTTATATTAAGCCAAACTGCAAAAAGGGGCCAGCTGCCGAATGTCCAAGCTACTGGCTTTGGCCAATTTATGAAGCAGAACTGACACTTGATGGATTTGCTCCTGTGCCTTTTATTTGCTTGGCCAGTTATAGTCCGGTAAGAGGCATTGATACTCGGAATTCGGGCTTACTATTTACATATATAGTAGATATATGTATGGACAGGAGTTCAGCATCTGCTGGCTCCAATTAAATCACATTCCAATCTGCCGAAAGCCTTAGTGTCCTGATGGGGATTACCTGCCAATCGATAGGAACTGCATAATCCTCATTTATCTCTCTTACGCTACTCGTTTGTTTTGCTCCCTCACCTGGTAGTAGATTGAAAGCAAAACAAAACAGGAATCCTTTGGAAAGGTGTAACTTTATTACATCGAAGCCCACATACCCTGAAAGGGGGGGCCCGTTCGCCGATTGTCAATATTGCCTAAGGCTACGATACTGTTTAAATATAATTTGTGCAAAATTTCATTTTAATAACTGTCGGGTTGGTTGGGTATTACACTGCGTTTCAGAACTATGCGACTATGTTCAAAGTGTTGCCAAAAATCTGAGGGACATTTTATACATTCTATTTAATGTTGGATTTAATTATTTATTTGATTTGAAATTCATCTGAAAAGCAATCAATTTAGCTAACTCCAAAAACTTCAAAGTTCATCATTCCACAAATATTACAAAAATATTTTCGTGGATATGGGGATCCACTTTTGCTTGTCGACTGAATAATTTGCCGAACGTGAAGCGGAATTGTTCTACTATAATTTCGAAATTAAATCCAGTTATCTGTTGCCATTTTAAGCTGTCTTATGCGTATGCAACGCACTGTATGTAGTCAAAATTTAAGTGAAGAATTATTGGCAGCAGGCTGTGCCCGTCAAACGTCTCTAGGGACAACCGCGATGATGTGTTTGAGTCATTTTGTCGTCGCCGAATATCGAAGCTACAAATTTGATGATATTTTGCGGACATGCGTTGACTTGTGAGCGAGCCATCGTTCGGATGGATTGGAATTTGAATTGTAAATGTTATCAGTTCATATATTATGCATGCACATACACAATTAGTGGGGCATACAATTTAAAATAATGTGCGTCGGGATTTTAATAATTTCGGTGATATTTTATTTCAGATTTTTCAATGCAAACAAATCTCCGTAAATGGGGTTAGGCGGAGCTTCAGTTTACTTACTCTCATCTGGGAATATTCCGCTAGGAATCCAATATTTATCGTGTCAGAGAGACGGCGTGTCGAGGCTGCTGCTGCTGCAGTGCCCAGAAGCAACAGCACCAGAATGGCAGCAGGCAACGCGAGATTGCAACAGAATGCGGATGAGGCAGTGGCAGTGGCAGGCATTCTTAACGGACGCAATAAAGTTTTATTTTTCACGAAACTGATATCGTCACGCACAAGGACGGGTAAACAGCGACGCACTACGTCACCAAGGCATATCACATGGCTTGCACTAGCGCTCGAGAAGCCATCTACAGCCGTAAGTAACCGACCAGAGTCCACACATATATTTATTATTCTTATGCCTAATCCCAACAGGTGATGGCTGCAGTTGCTGGTGGTCTCTGGCGCTGCTATCCGTTACGTTTATGTACGGCACGGCACTTCATCACGGCCGTAGTCTGGCGGAGACTGTGGCTGCTCGTTCCGATTCGGCTGGCCTTTTATAGCCTACGAGCCTTCGTGTCTTTTGTCGGATTCGTATCGGTTCCGGCTTTGGGTTGGACGAGCAGGACGAGCAGCATGACAGGGCTCGGAGGGGTCGCGCCAAAATTAAGTGGTCTATGAATGACAAAAACCATAGAGTCCTGGGATCAAGGGAAGTGGCATGGCCGTGTATTTGGGTTCCCTGTCACTGACTCTCTCGTTGTGTTGGGTGGGTCAGTCAGTGGTCAGCATGTGAAGGACTTTGTTTGTTTGCTTCCCACATGAATCGAAATCTTCCGTTTTTGAATTTATACCGACCAAAGTGCTGATTTGTGTACGGCACCGCTGGCCGCTGGCCGTTGGCGTAGGCGTAGGATTCATGTCACTTCAGGTCGAATAGCTTCTGTCCTGTTGAGCACATTACCTATTTCCTTCCTGATGTTTATCCAAATCATGTTGTGTGCAAATTGCAAATCACATTTCCACCTGCAATCAAATGGCATCTTCAGTCAGTCTAGTCGTCAATTATGGAGATAATCTGACAACATTCTTGCTGTGTGGAGAAAATAGATTTGTGGGGGGACTTATTCGACAATAAAAACAGCGACAGTCCGTATACAAATTACTTATCTTTTATTTTCTAGCAACGCATTTATGTACCCTCGAAGAATAAGTATTTGGCATCCTTTTCTTTACGTAATTTTATTCGTAAGTAATTTGTTTTTAACATTGTACATCCTCTTAATTATCAACATTGCAGCGAAAGAAAAAGCAACTTGTTTTGTATTTTCCGTTGCGCTTTTTTGCAAGGAAGTAAGACCCAATTATTTATGCTTTTATTTTCAAGCAGGTCAACAGGTTCAGAGTTGCTCAGCAGCCTTGCATTTTATTGGTGCGTTTAATACGACATTTGCTATGGAAAAATAGTTTAAATTTTGTTATGATTTTATTTGATATTTCTAAGAAATTTAGCCTCAATTATGCTCTAACATTGAGGCAAGAAATTTGTAAATATTATTACGATTCTCGGTCCTCATCCTCATCCAATCTTCTTTAGATACATAGTTATGGCACAAATGTAGCCTAAATTGCGCTTTAACTTTGGAGCAAGAAATTTGTAAATATTATTATGATTCTATGCGGGCTACCCTCCTCTCCTCATCCTCATATGCTCCTGCTTTATGTTGGGAGCAAGAAATTTGTAAATATTTTTACGTTTCTATGGGTCTTATCCTCATCTCCTCATTCTTATCTACTCCTCTTTGGATATCTAGTTAAGGCGCAGTATCCTAGTGAAGCTGAGATAAATCAATGGTTTCCGTGACAGGAAAAATGTGTTGCATTTAAATGGAGCAGGAATTAACGGAACCCTTTTCAGCAGTGACCCCATTGCCCATTTGCATTGTGTGGGCTCATTATCATTGTCATGGTCAGTCTTTTCTCCTACGTAAGAGCTTTCTGCCGCAATGAGTGGGTTAGCTGGGTTTTCCGAATTAAAGTTCGGGTTCAGGGCCATGGTCATGGTCATTCTTTCCACCCAAAAGCTTGGTATGGGAATCTGGACATTCTGCTGCAATGAGTGGGTTAATAGGATTTCCTGGGGCACAATTTACATATTCAGAGCGCAGACATCCATCCCATTGTCATCAGTACTCTCACGCGCCGCGTAATGTTTTTAATTAAATTTGTTCAAATATATCCTCAAGTACGTGGAAGATGACAACTAATTGAATTGGCATCACAAGTCTTATTACGCTTCACATTCAAATTCTTTTGTGCCTGTCTCAGGTTTGTATTTCAAATTAACTCGCGAGAGCCGCAATTGTTCATCGATAATGTTAATTTGTAACTGAATACTCCATACTTGGAGTATACTCCGAGTCACACTCGGTCTAAGCGCAGTACAGTGTTACCCAGCGGTGTAAGGCAGACCGGAAGGCCTTCCTTACTACAAGTAACTAATAATAATCCATCAGATTCCAACCATAATACGAGCATAATGGGTTTTTCTTGGAGTTCATTAAGGCGCACAAGTTTAAAATCGTTCCAGGATTTGTTGATTCGGTTTTAGTGGAGCTCTATCTAAGCTCATTCAAGTTTTGGTTAATAGTAATCCATTTAGCGACTCAACAGTTAAACTTCTCCTAAGCTGACTGTTCTGAAACGCACTGTAGGCATTTTTCTAATGTCTGAGAGCGTTTTATGTGCACGTCCTAGTTCAATTTAAATTCTGACTTAAAATTTGATTCCATTTGAGCTGCAACATAAGCTGATTGAAATGAAATTTTAATTTTAACTCCTGACAACTGGGCGACTTTGTTTTGTTGGCCATGAAGTCATGTCCCCAGCAAACATTCACATAACCGATTGAGGTGTTTTTGTATTTGTGCACATCCAACAGCCCATTCGCTTAAGCTTCCTGAACTGTAAATTATGTATTTAACAGGAGCAGATTTCATTTGACAGGACATGCAGAAACGTTTCCTGCCGTTGCATATTAATATTCCATATTGTATGCACCAGTAAAAGTTTTAGTTTAGTTATTAATTTAAGTTTGTGTACTTTTATATGAGCGTCACAAACTCAGGAATTGAGTTAGGCTGTCGCTAAAATTTCCATGAGCGCACATCTACATATGAGTTTTGCTTAGCCTAAATATTTTTGATTGCTATTGTGGAGAGATTGTTTTGGTTTCTTGGGAATATATTCGGGTAGTACCACACTTTACATATGAATTGGTATTCGTTAGTATTTGCAGGGGACTGCTTTCTTTATCCAAGTGGGAAGTTCTTGGCAGTCGTTGGCCACCATTGACTATAAAAGTCAGAAAGAAATATTAAAATCATTTCAAGGGTTTGACTTACTTTACTGTACTGTAAGGTACACTACAACGAGTACCACATAAGAAACACAATGCTACATAAGTTAATTGTTGTTGTGATATTGCATTTGTCTGGCAATAGGAGTTCCCTTCCGAGGAGAGATGTTCGAGGTAGTAAATAAAAACTTTTTCGATTAGCACAGATGTCCACGCGAGACCACTACCCGCTAATTGACTTTTGACCGTGTTTTATCTAGTCCCACTGTGTCATAGTAGTGACACTTTCTATACCCTTATTAAGAAGGTACATTAAATTGGGCAGAGCGAAGAATATTTAACCCCCATATAAAGTATTTAAAAGTAGATAAATTATAGATTTAAAAGAAAAATTCATCAATAGTTGGTTACGTAAATAAATACGTAAATATGTTCATACATACATATGTACACACATACAAACTATGTACACAACTATAAACAACTTTTATAGAGCCTTTACAGCTTGTGCAATGGAGAGATCGGAAATAAATTAAAGAAGCTTTCATCATTTCAATGCATTATACATAAATCCTAATACACTAATTAAATGGCAATGCCACTTTTTGCTTTTAGCTGTAAATAAAATTAATTTATGTTTAAAAAAATATATTTTCAATCATTTTATACATATTTACAGTCACTATTTAATGCCGCATTTATTATCTGTTTTAACTTTAATCGACAAACAGCATTAAAGAGCATTTACGATTGAGAGAAGTATATGTAGATATGTATGTAAGCCGGTCAATGTTGGGTACAGTTGGAGGGTTTCACACTTGCCCAAGGCATAGGCACACATCCCATGCACAGGGCCCGAAAACTTTACTCTCACCCTCTTTTTTTTATTGCCTGCAGTATGTAATCTGCAAACAGGCAGACATTCAGATATATTAAGGACAAGCTCGTTGGGTGGACAAGCCATGAATAACAACAATTAAATGGAAAATTATCTTCCGGGCCCGAAGGTTTTGATACACTTGAACACACCTCGCTTTTGATCTATGCAGAAACAAAATTCAACAGAAAATTGTTGACATTTAGCTAAGTAGCTTTAAAGCTGAGGTACAGTTTTAAAAGAGTATATGCACGAGTTCGATTCGAGACTTCAAGAAGCTTGAGTTGAAAGAGAGATATTTTGAGCACAAATAACAGAGAGGCTCTCATTCTTGCTTAGCTTTCTCCAAGAATCCAGAGAGAGAGAGAGTTTGAGCTTTTTTGCTGTTTGCAAGAAAGAACCCATAGAGTGCCAGAGAGAGAGTGTTAGGCGCTTGCTCTCCAACTTTCGCTTTACTTGTTCGCTCAAAGTACAGTCTTCTTTTGCGGTAAAATAAAAGTTCAGTTATGTTTATTCATACATATTTTTCTGTTTTGTATTTACAATGAGTGCTACAAAAATCCTATTCGTAAAACTGGGACCTCTAGGATCTCCAGAGAATGTTGAAAGTTGTGAGAGTGAATTAATTCGAATTTCTTCTTGAGTGCCTACGCTCTACTGATAATGGGCGAGGGCCTCCTTGTTGATAACGCCCGCGGTGCTTGTGTACTTCGGGGAGCTGCCATTTAGGGCGATGAACTGCTCTGCCACCTCGACGGCCACACGCACTTGCGCCTCCGCGGTGCTGGCACCCAGATGGGGCGTGGCCACCACCTTCGGGTGACTGATGAGGGCCTTGGTGACCGCAGACTTTGGCGGCTCCTCGGGATATACGTCGAAGGCGGCACCAGCCACTTGGCCACTCTCAAGGGCGTCGATGATGGCCTGTTCATCTATGATGCCGCCACGAGCCACGTTTACGACCTTGACACCCTTCTTGCACTTGGCCAAAGTCTCCGTTGAGATGAGATCTGGGGAAATCGATGAATATGGCACCTTACATCAAATATCACAGCGCAAAAGATTACTCACTTCTGGTGGCTGGAATCAGAGGCGTGTGCACAGTTATGT